GTAATGCCCTGTTTAATAATGTATGACATGTAATGCACTCGCATTATTGCATTATAGTTTACTGTAAGTGTAACCCAGTACTATAAGGAAGTAATTTAGCAGAATAATTTCACTCTATCTCTGCTAAAATATAATAAACAGCAATTTCATTATGTTATAGCTTGTCAGCCTTCAATTATCTGCAAGTCTTTGACTTGATAACAATCATTATTTTTTATGAAGTAAAAACATACGAACATTATTGATATTGACAGTATTATAGTGTTTTAATTATGTGTTAGATTTGACAAAGTAAAACAAAACTCAAAGTAAAACAAAACTGAAGGAAGCATTTACCAATGTTTTTGTTTACCTACACCCCAAGGTACGTAGTGAATTGTACAATATATTTGTCTGCACATTTGTGTGTCTGTATATGAGCGTTTTTTGACAGAAGGGGTGAAGTCTGCTATCTCTGATTGTCTTGTTTTCGATTGTCTTGTTGGGATTGTAGCACGTTGGGTGCAAGCCCAAGGGCAAAACATACATGTTTACATGATTCAATTTTTTGATTCCATGTGTTATATAAACTTGAATGATAAAGATTTAGAATGGTGAAAAATTTTCCTTCTTGCCGTCTATCTGATTAAAAGGTCTTTGATATTGAAAGTTAATATTGACTTTCATATGATTTCATACTGTATTGAATGTGTATACATACAGTCAGGTTAGTGCAGGTAAAATTGGAGCTGTGCAGGTATTTCTGATGTCTACCTGCACCTAATCTGCACTTGTTCATGTACTGGGTATATGCAGGTTAGTGCAGGTAAAATAGGAGCTGTGCAGGTATTTCTGATTCATTGCACCTAACCTGCAGTGATCCCAAACTATTCTGGGTACACAAATGCATGTGGAACGGTTGGAGTAGCTTTAAAAGCCAATTTACAAATGACAAGCTTTAAGTGAATGACTGTCTCTCGGCGCCCGGTAAAGTGTGCAGTTGTACGTCAGTGCTGCTGGCGGTATGTTGGTGGGTAATTTGGAAGCGGAAGTTGTAGGGACGGATCTATCTAAGCACCAATTCCCTGTACACTCACTCAAGGGCAGGCAGCAGATAACACAGCCAAGTGTTGTGATGTTCTACATTTGTACATTGGAGTTGACTTTCCAATGAAGTAGGACATTACAATTTTCAGAAAATTATTATGAGGGCTGTGTAAAATTGTTCAGCTACAGCAATAGGCCCAAACCTATACATGTACATATCTGTATCTGTACAAAATGTATCTGTATCTTACCATTTTCAAAAATACTGTTATGCTAAAAATAGGTAAATTTTATCATAGCATCAAAATGGTGACATGTTAAACAATTTTAGCACTAGAAAAAAAAAAAACATATCAAGAAAATTTTATAGATTTAAAGTATCTTCATAGACAGTAAGGTTTGAAATTATGTTTTCCTGACTTAGGTTTATTTTATGTTGTGCATCCAACATTTCTTCTAATTTTTTCTGTACTTAAATTTCTACATGTAGTATACGTGTACCAGTGACGGTTTCCCAAAAATCAATTTCTGGCCATACCACATACATCATGTGTATGATGTAGCTTTATCCTCTTTGAATATTGATAAAAAGCTGAAGCATAACTAAACAGATCTACCTCAGTATCTGATGAATGATAAGAGATATCGGTGAGCCTGTTGTGGAACAGACAGGATGGTTTATTTGGTCAACTTCACAGGTCAGCCTGCTGCGTCATCCTTTACCACGCTGAACATCCTACGGTCGATATTACTGACAGCACTTCCTGTGATAGCTCGTCTTTTATAGGCCCTCTCAGGGCTCGAAATTCATTTTTGGGAACAGGTGCACCATATAACATAAAATAACTAGAATGTCAGTAATAACTAATTATGTTTCATTTCTAGAGAAAAATACTACAACATATTATTTTTCTGACACTGGGATGTTAAGAATATGCTGTATATTATTATACATTTAACATCTTTACATACGTTAAACCTAAGAAATATTTGTGTGCACTGGTGCACACGCAGAAAAAAATTGTGTGCACAGCTCCAAATTTGGATTCACTAAGGTGCACAAGAATATGCTGTATATTATTATACATTTAACATCTTTACATACGTCAAACCTAAGAAAATAATTGAAACCACAGAAAAAAATTGGGTGCACAGCTGCAAATTTGGGTGTACTAAGGTGCACATGCACCCAGTATTTCGAGCCCTGCACACTGAACATCCTACGGTCAATATTACTGACAGCACTTCCTGTGATAGCCTATCTTTTATAGGCCCTCTCAGGGCTCGAAATTCATTTTTGTGAATAGGTGCACCATATGACATAAAATAACTAGAATGTCAGTAATAACTAATTATGTTTCATTTCTAGAGAAAAGTACTACAACATATTATTTTTCTGACACTTGGATGTTAAGAATATGCTGTATATTATTATACATTTAACATCTTTACATACGTTAAACCTAAGAAAATATTTGGGTGCGCTGGTGCACGCACAGAAAAAAATTGAGTGCACAGCTCCAAATTCGGGTGCACTAAGGTGCACATGCACCCAGTATTTCCAGCCCTGCACGCTGAACATCCTACGGTCGATATTACTGACAGTGCTTCCTGTGCCCGTCTTTTATGGCTCCTCTTCTCCTCAATGGGCAGTTTTTCTTACACACTTCCGGCTCCCGATGTGCTTTGGTATTAGGCCACTTCAATTTAGTTTCTGGGTTATCGGACAATTTGAGGATAAATCAAGAGCCTTGTTGTAGATTAGACCGGTCCAAATTCTTGAAAGCCTCCAGTCTGTCACAAAAATTGGATGTAAAAATGCATATGTAACCAATTTCTTTTTCATTTTCAGCACCAATCTGTATATGTATCTGTATCTGTATAGCCAGCATAACTACCCCTCAGTGTAACACACCAGTTGTCTACACACCGAACAACATCTAACTCTAGACATTGTGTAAAGCTATCTACTTGGTGACAGCGAGTTCCACTCTGCGATAGTTTCAGGAAAAAATGAGTTTTTGAACACCTCAATTCTTGGATTGAGATGATAAACTTTCTTACTTTAGATTGAGAAGTTCACAGAGAACCAAAGAACTGCCTTGTTCTGGCCTGACCCTGGTGCCAATACAGGATTTCCTACTGTATACTTGGTGACAGCGAATTCTACTCTGTGATAGTTCTAGGGAAAAAAAAAATTATTTTTTGAACACCCCAATCCTTGGATTTACATGTAGATGATAAACTTTCTTAATTTCGAATGATGAGAACCAAGAAACTGCCTTGTTCTGGCCTGACCCTGGTGCCAATACAGGATTTCCTCCCCAGATTTTTCCTGTCAGCTTCAGCCTCCATGTCAGATGGAGAGGCTTGTGTGGGAGAATGGGGTAATCCAACAGGGAAATAGGATAATTTATGGTATTTGTCTGGTCCATTTAACTCTGTACTTAGACTCAGAGCTGGGCTGTTTGGTCAAGTGGCTAGCTAGGATGGGGGAAAAACTTAAATTTGTCTGGTCCATTTAACTCTGTACGTACAGAGCTGGGCTGTTTGGTCAAGTGGCTAGCTAGGATGGGGGAAAAACTTAAATTTGTCTGGTCCATTCAACTCTGTACGTACAGAGCTGGGCTGTTTGGTTAAGTGGCTAGCTAGCCTCAGTAGCAGGCTTATACTTAAAGAACTGGGGGTTTGGTGGTCTTTGGCTGTTTTCTGATGATTAGCCCAGTTAATACAACCAGGCCGGCTATGTTGTCTATATGCAATCAGAAAATAGCACATAATATTAAAAGCTCCCAAAGACCATGAAGACTCCCAAAACCCCAGTTTTTGGCATGCTATGGCGGCTAGTGGCTAGCTAGGATGGGGAAAAACTCAAATTTGTCCGGTCCATTTAACTCTGTAGTTAGACTCAGAGCTGGGCTATTTGGTCAAGTGGCTAGCTATTCCATTTCAGGACCAGATCTAGAGTGTTGTTGCATCGAGTCCCAACCATTTCTGTCCTAAATATTGAGTACTGTTCTGTGAGCAATAATTTTTAGGCTAAGTGGAAACCCACATTCATTTCTCAACAAAATTAAAGCACCGCAGAAAAATGTTTCAAGTTAAAAGCTCCACTGACAGTAGGACAGAACGAAGTTTAGACAACGGGGCACAAAATTTACATTTAAATTTCAGATTGGTGAAGGCCTGATGTACATTTGTAACTTTCAAAATATCGTTTTCTGCACCAGTGCAGCTATGCATAATTTTTATCATACATTTCTAGCCCTTTATATGCAGTGTTGCTTCCTTTTCCGATACTGACTACTTGTCCTCTGTGTCCTCTACTTGAACTTGACCCTGGCCCCACTTAAACAGCTGTAGTGTTATGCATGCCATGCAATCATCTGCCGTGTAAGGTGTGGGGTGAATATTAGAGCTTTGCTGATGACCAAAACTTGATAAAGTACTGTATTCAGACTGTCCAGAAACCAGGCTGACATGCTGTTGGTTTGCTCTGTGTTTTCAATGTTCATTACCATCGGATTGTATTATATTTCTCAGAGTTCTCAGGTAATGTCTCAAAGCATTTTTCTTCAGAAAATCCTGTGTAGGGTTTCCTCTTATTTGTGAATAATTGTTTTCTTATTTCGAGTACAAAAATTTAGTAAGAAGGTATGAAAACATTGTAGCATAAAAACAAAGGGCTAGGAGGAAAACCTTCCATATGAATGTATAATTCACTCCTTGACACTGTGTGTACCATTAGGTACAGGCTGTTTTTTTAATCCACGAAGCAACAAAATGAAAAGGCTCACTTACTGAAACCTGTTGTTTGTATTTATTGATTGATTTGCAATTTGTTGGTTCAGAAGTCCAAGTTGTTGTTTTTGTTTTTTATTTACATCATGTTGTTTGTAACGCCAGAACCACAAGTTGTTGTGTTATTTGTATTTATTCATTTGTTTGTTTGTTTCTTTGTTTGTTATTTTTAGGACCAGGAGCATAATGTGACGGAATATGAGATCATCAGTGTTGCTGCAGAAGGTGTAGTTGGGAAGGAGAAAGCCAGCCCAAGTCAGTTTGAACTTCTGAAGGTGCTGGGACAAGGCTCCTTTGGCAAGGTGAGGAGCTCACATACACAAGATTCTTATCAAGGGACTTTGAGTTAGCAGATACAAGACAAGCCCTCCTGAATTTAGTGAGAGTAAACAAGCTGTACCATATGCAGCAAGCCCCAGCATCAGTGTGCAAGCACGTTTAACTCTCGGTACACTAGGAACAACACTCAACAGACGTTAAGCTGGATAGATAGAGAGAGAGACAAGAAGGTTTTAAGGGCCCTAGATTATTTTGTCTGGAATAAAATGAGAATACATTACAAAGTACAATTCTATGCATATTTTCTTCATGATTAGTTTAATTTAAAAAATTGCTTTGACTTTGTATTTCTAGTCATTGTAACTTGCAGAAAACAGAGATGTTACTTTCGAGTTTAATTACTTTCAAATCTGAAGAAAAAGGAGATTGAAAGGCCATTATTCTATAAGGCACCAAATTTGTAGTTGAGGGTTGAATTTATATTCTGACTGCACCTTACGCAAGTTACAGGCCATTTAGTTGCTTCCTTGATGTTCAAGGAGCCTGGAAGAACCTCAGGATCAAAGAAAAAGGAAAACTGCTTTGATTCCGGAGGCGGAAAATTCTATAATGGTGATCCACGGAATTCAAAGTGAAGAGGGAAAAATATCGACCTGGCTAAAACTTTTTGTCTAACGGTCGTTCCTTTAAGTGGTCTTGGCGCTTCCTGAGTATCCTTGTAATCTTTTAAGACTCGGAAGGCTTTTGTTGAAGAAATGCAGCCATCTGAAGATGCTGATACCAAAATGCCTGAGGTATTATACTATGGTTCATGAATAAACAGTCAAGCTTTTGGCTTGTAAGCATACCAGTTTCTTTCGTGGTTCTGCAAATTATAAAAATAATGCTGAACTGTACAACATGAAATTAAAATTAAACCATCATATAGCTGAATGTAGTGAATATAATTATAACCGAGGTTTCAAGCCCTTTTTCTATCTTATCCCCATGTTTTTGCTTAATGTTCACTTTGAAAATTAGAGAACCCTTTGGAAATACATTATAGTAGATTGACATGGGCTAAACTTGGACTTTTAAAATTGTTTCAGTCGAGAAGAAAGTGATTGTATCAGCTGAGCAGAAAGTAAGGGTGGATATAAGGGTGGTTTCAAGCCCTTTTTCTACCTTATCCTCATGTTATTGCTTATGTTCACTTTGAAAATTAGAGAACCCTTTGGAAATACATTATTGTAGATTGACATGGGCTAAACTTGGACTTTAAAAATTGTTTCAGTCGAGAAGAAAGTGATTGTATCAGCTGAGCAGAAAGTAAGAGTGAATATGAGAGTGGTTTCAAGCCCTTTTTCATCTTATCCCCATGTTTTTGCCCAATGTTCACTTTGAAAATTAGAGAACCCTTTGGTAATACATTATAGTAGGCTAAACTTGGACTTTAAAAATCGTTTCAGTTTCAGAAAGTGATTGTATCAGTTGAGCTGCTTGAGTAGAAAGCTTCCTCAAAATTGCTCCTTGCCAGAAAACCGGAAGACATCCCAGAAAAAAGCTTTTTCTTTAGATAAGATCTCCCAAGTACCATTCCTAATGCGTTCTCAGTCAATAGGCAATATAGGTCCCTGAAATGACTGGTCGTTAGGCTTAAGTGTGTGATTGGGAAGGTGTTAAGAAGCACGTTGTGGTCTGCTGTAATGTGTATGGATCACTGTTGCAGAATATAAAACACTTGAAGGCAGCTGAGAGTGTTGGAGATAACAAATTTTACTTTAAGCCCTAAACTTATTGTTGAATGTATGGTTAGATTGTATTCAGAAAGCGAGGCTATCCCCAGAATTTTTTAAGGGAGAGGTGCTCCTTAATCATTTGATGAAAAATCAGGAAATATTTGTGGAAATACCAATTTACTGTAAGAGAAAACCCTAAATTTGAACATTTTGGGAGAGATGCTAGGATTTGGGGGAGAGGAAGAGCACCCTTGCTTCATTGCTCAAGGGAGAGCCCTAAATTATTAGTTGAAAGGGTTGCCTTTCTTCATCTAAGCTTTGTCTAAATGATTTTTGTTTGCATTTATTACAATGTTCATTAAATTTTATTTGTTTGTGAACATTGTAACAAATGCTTATATTTTCAAGAAGCTACTGATAGATTGTCATAAAACAAAATTGGCAGGTGGGTACATGTAGGTCTTGACCTGTTTAAAATAATGATAAGATTATGGCCCCCTAGCGGCTTTCCTGACTGGTTGTACTTTATTTTTCAGGTGTTCCTGGTGAGAAAAATCCACGGCCATGATGCAGGGACCCTGTACGCTATGAAGGTGCTGAAGAAGGCCACCTTAAAAGGTAAGATAAACACACACTTTAAGCACAATCATCTTTTACCATCATGAAAGTTCATCTGTGTTGGTAGTTACATGTTTTAAGTTAATACTTTTGGTCCAACACAAAAATTCTCTCACCTAGAGTTTTTTGTTTCGACCAGTCACTCTGGTCTTCCTCAGTAGACTGACCCAGTGAGGCCTGTCACGTGGCTTCTTTGAAGTCTGACGTCAACACTGGGTCAATCATCTTTGTGTATCTATGTATAGATAATCCTGTAGATATGATAGCTGACGACTTTGATTTTAATTCCTGTCCTTAATAATTCTTACATAGCTTGTCCTTGTCTCCAAGGTTTGAGCCCTTTTAAAATAGTCTTGTAACTAGTTGGTCAACCCTGGCTGTCTTTTGTAAAGCTGAAGCAATAAGATTAAAAAAATCAATCCACCCAATGGCAGTAACAACAAATACCAGCTTTCTTTTACGTTCATAATTATTGTTAATATTAAAAAATTCCCCTAAATAATAATATCCGTGCCCCCCCCCCACCTCCATGTTCATATGTATGTACTCAATCTTGTTGAAAAGCAGCCAAATGTATGTAACCAAAACAAGCTATTGAGAAATATATAAATGAAAAAAGCTTTGAATTGAATGATCAATAAATTCTTCCTTCTAATAAATAAAAAATTATCTTAAGACTGAAACCTAATGTTGAAAAGAAAAAAAAGTGGCTATGTAATCAAACACAGCTATCAAGAAATATACAAATAAAAAAAGCTTTCAAGATATTAAATTGAATAATCAATAAATGTTTTCTTCCTTCCAAGACTGTAAAAATCTATCTTAGACTTAAGCCGATCTATAAGGAGCACTAAAGCTGAAATATCGCCCCATTGAGGGGCTCTAAGCATAGTTCAATGTCAACACAATTTTCCGTGAACACTCTTATTATTGACAAAATGGTGGATAAACGCTGTAAGCTTCTTACACTGGGCTCGCGTTTCTAAGCCTGTTCAGCTGCAGTGATCTGTTGTGGCCGAGAATCGATTTGAGACCACTGGCGATTTTAAATGCTTCCTACATTGTATATGATTGTGAAGAAGGTAATGCTTTAAAGGCATACAATTCAGTTTTTAGGGCTTGGAACCAGATTTTTCAAAGTCAATATTCTAGTCACTTACCTACAGACTGAGCTGGAACAACACTGTCCCAATGTATATTGACCCTCGTGGAGCAAAAATACCCAAAATTCTGATGGCAAATGGTTACTAGAAGGGCCCTTGGCTGATTTTTAGGGTACCACCCATAAAATAAAGGACTCATCTTGGGGCTTGTTTCTACAGTTTAAAATACCCAAAGTATGAGATGCTGATTTAAATTTTGAATGTGCTAATGTGAAGCAGTGTGTGTCAATATCATAAAGATTGCCTTATTCAGAACATTTCCAGTTTTTCTGTCCTGAAATCGCACTGGATGCCTCTAAAGCCATACAATTATTATAGCCAGACAAGGTGATTGTTTAAATTTAGAAACAAAGGGAGGTTTTTGCCCTGTTCTTTTAACCTCCCTTTTGAATAACCCATAGCTAATATGAATTTGATGCCAAACAAGTACAATGTACCTCAGTGTACTAAAGGTTAACCTTCTCTGCTGTTGGCTTTTGCACCAAATTTGTATTATCACTCAGTGTTACAGGGTTAGGCAGCAGCGTGCAAAATACCTGGTTGCCCAGTTGCCCAATCAAATTTTACTTGGGGCAACCTATTTTTGAACCTTTAAGGTTGCCCAGTGTGCTACCTGAATTTTAAGAATCCCCCCCCCCCAAATCATGCCCGTTTAGCTTGCATATGCTTTTAGGTATTGCTATTACTAGTACCAGTTCACTAAAGGCTGTTAGAAATATTGTCAAAGGCTTATGTATGTAACATTACTTAAATTGAGGAAAGTAGTAACTTATATTATAGGTGGGGCAACCGAAAATTCTGATGGGCAGTTCCAAATTTTTGCTGGTTTTGTACACTGGGCAGCAGGGAGAAGGTTAAAAATCTGCACGTATTCCAAAGCGATAAAGCTCCAGAACTTCCTGTAATCAAAAATACATCTAGACTAATTGATGAGCTGCTGCTGACCACAAAACAGCCCAGGGTTTTATAGCTTATTGATTGAAGATAACGATTTTACGCGATCGCGATGAATATTTGAGGAAAGGAACTGCATTTGGATGACCTGAAGAAAATTACAATGAAATAACATAAATGTTGTGGTAGATAATGATAATATAATCCAACACTTCCGGCTGTACTTGCTGGATTTGCTGTTGAATCTTACCTGTGATATACCTGCCAATTTTTATGTGAATTTCAAGCTTAATTTATGCTAAAATCTATTGAGAAACATGTAGGAATTGAAGGAAGGTATCGCATTTGGATGAACTGAAGGAAAATTACCTTGAAAAACATTTATCGTAGGTACATATAATCCACAACTTCCTGCTAGAGTTGCACAGAATTGCAGGATCTGCAGTTTAATCTTACCCATAGCGAATCGGACAACTTTAATGCAAATTTCAAGCTTAATTTATGTGGAAATCTATTGAGAAACATGTCTATTCAAGGTGATAGTTATTAATAAATGATTATATAATCAGTGTGTATGCACTGTTGTCAAAAAACAAGACAGTAAAAGTGGACAAGAGATTGTTCTGACTGTTTCACATTTTCCCCAAACAACCTGTTTTAATGTGATGTTGCATCCATTTTCAGTATAGCACTGTATGTATGACAATCACTCGAGATCTTTATTTGCAATCAAATACAGATTCATGTACAGAATGATACAGATTCATGTACAGATACAGATTCATGTACAGATATACATGTACAGATACAGATTTCCGAGTATGATGACTGTGTCAGTCCCTACACCTGAATGAGGTGGCCTTCGCGTGGATTTGTTTAAGGTGGATAACAGGTTGCGAATCTGAGACCCACACACTTTGGGCATCCGTCTTCTCCAGCGGCACTGTATAGCACTTTGTATCATACCCGGGCCGCGATAACGTTCGATAACGGGTTCCAGACCGGGCCGTACTTTACGGTCCGGCCCAGTCTGGAACCCGTTATCGAACGCTTCCATGGCTTCCATAAAACGATTCGAACGCGTTTCGCCCTAACCTCGTGTGCCCCTTTCGAAAATTCGAATACTGAATCCGGACGTTGGAATTGATGTTGTTGCATTTTAGGGTTCAGTGGCACCAACTTTTGGCTCATCTTGCATTGAAAAGGCGCGTTTTCTTGGGTGGGTATGATATAAATAAAATACAACACGGTGTATTCCGCATCGCCCTCGGTCCCGGCCCTCCCGCGAGTCGATACCTCGGGCGATACGGAATACGCCGTGTTGTATTCTATATGTATGTTGTATACAAGTGACAATCTTCAACTACTTGAAGCTTGTTGTTTCTGTCTTAAAACTAATTGTACGTGTGATTTGTTTTTCCAGTGAGGGACCGCATGCGAACCAAGATGGAGAGGGACATCCTGGTGGATGTGAATCACCCCTTCATTGTCAAACTGCACTATGGTGAGACTTCAGCTTTGTATTACAATGTATAATGTCAGGATTTCATTATTATTATTATAATTTAGGAATATTTCAAACAATAAAACCAGGGAATTATTTAGAATGTTTAAAAGATATTCAAAACATTTCCAAATTATGAAATTTATTAGACAAACAATTACAAAGAATTAAAAACATTTCTAAATAATGACAATAGCAACCCACACGGTGACGCAGAATTGACTCTAGGGCAGATTACACAGCAAGTTTATTGCTGGTCATTGTTATGGACTCCAGGAAGAATAGTGTCAATTGTAACACTAATGGTGATCCTAATAAAACAATCAATGATGAGACTCACTGAAAGAAGACCACAAAAAAGTTCTCACAGTCACCCACATTTTATCCATAAAAACTCCACCAGAAATTCACATTGTCAAGGGTTTATGTAATGCAAAGGAAGTAAGGCATTGTACTCTTCAAACTCAAATAATGCTCTTAGGGTGGTTCTACCAGTTACACAGATACCCAAGAATCTGATACAAGGCTGGACATTCCTTTGAAATCTGCACATCTTAGGTGTAGAATCTGTGTGATAATTGATCAAACACTGTGCAGTGAAATGATGAGAGGCAGGACTGTGTCTGTACTTCAGAGCCGTGTAGGGAACACTTTGTAGTGCACTTTACACACCATGGCTTGCACCCAGGTGATCCCAGGTTATGGGCTCTTTTATCTTACCTTCAACTCTTCAAGGAAGTCTTCCACATCACATCAGATCGTTTTTGTAAATCATCTTCAATGTTCTGTGCATCTTTTATCTTTCCATGTCTTTTATCTTGCCATACAAGATCTTGGAGGATGAGGTTTGGGAAAAAAGAAAAAGAAACACTGTTAGTGCATCTGAATGAGCATCATAACCATTCGTATCTATTGTCCAGTTACCAGGGCTAGCACTTTCAAATAGCCTCCGGCTAGTGGGGCAGTCCTGGTTGAATGTCATTTTATTTAGCCTATTAATAAATCAGATCAAATCACAACAAACACTCTAGCTATCTAATGATAATGCCTCTACTGTACTTGGTGACAGCGAGTTCCCCTCTGCAATAGTCCTGGGAAAGAATGAGTTTCTGAACACCTTAGGCCAGACCAATTTAATTGGTTGGTTCTCGGATTTTTTCTGAAAAAATATGAAGCTACAGGGCAAAAAATAAAAAATAAGAACATGTCTAGGCATACTTTTGACAAAATATTTATACGAATACACACAACAAAGTTCAGCTATGCTGGGGAGCTTTCGAGACGTTACACTGTCTCTTCTTCAACCCGATTGAGATCTCGTCTTGGAGTTCTCTTGTCACGTGACTTGATGGGATAATCACGTGACAAGAGACAGTCATAATACAGGTTTTAGGTAGTGACGCCCCCTGTCCTTGTTTAAGGTACTGCATTGTCGGCGGATCTGGATTGCCTCCCGGACTCCCCTTGCAAACCAATCGGAATCTTGGTCCAGCACTTTAACCCTGTCCCAGTCTATGTTGTGTTTCTTCCTGGCGACGTGCTCCACAACAGGTGACGACACACAGCTCGGTCTCTTGTGTTCCTGTAGACGGGCGCGTAGTGGTCTCTCTGACTCCCCTACGTATGTTGCAGGGCAGTCCGCACATGGGATGTGGTAAACCGTTCCACTCCGATCCAGCGTCTTGATCTTGTCTTTAGGTGCTACCAGGTTCCGTCTGATGGTGTTGACCGGTCTGAACTGACACTGTACTTTGCGTCTGTACAGTTGCATGAGTGTTTCAGAGATACCCTTGATGTAAGGAATGCTGACTGTCCCTCTGCGCACCACTCTTGTCTGGTCAGGTGGAGTTCTGTTAGGTCTCTTACAACGTTTTGTCTTACAGGCCTGAAACATCCATTCTGGGTATCCACATACCGAGAGTGCATTTTGTATGTGTTCGATTTCCAGGGTTTTGTCACTCTCTTCGGTGACAATCACATTGGCTCGGTCAGTGAGGGTTTGCACTACACCTATCTTGTGCTGAAGAGGATGGTGGCTTGAGAAGTTCAGATACAAATCTGTATGAGTTGGTTTCCGGTAGATAGTGGCATAAAGTGAGCCATCCGGCCTTCGGTGGATCAAAGTGTCCAACATCGGTCTAGGCATCCTATTATAGTCCCAAATGCTACGATAGGAGCAATGAAGTCAACACAAAAGGCTGGGTTAATACATTTGTATTACCAATAACCAACAAATGAAATCAGTGTGGCCTCTATACTTGGTTGATAACTCTGGTGTACATGTAGTGTAAAGAGAAATACAAAAATTTTAATGACACTGTTTTCTGTTCTATACAGCATTTTAAACAGAGGGTAAGCTGTATCTGATTCTGGACACTCACTCACTATTCGGCTTATTGTTTGAAGTAGTGATACAAACTAGTAACAAAGTACATACAAATGCGTATTGAGAATTACAAAATAAGTTTTGGTTTAACAATTTTTTTTTCTGTTCTCGCCAGCATTTCAGACGGAGGGTAAGCTGTACCTGATTCTGGACTTCCTGAGGGGCGGAGACCTCTTCACAAGGCTCTCCAAGGAGGTGGGTGTGGCCAGTATGCAAATTAGCACTTTGATTGACACCTATTGTATTGAAAGAAGGATGAATCCATTGTTCTTTACTGGGATGCAAAAACTGAAAAAAAAATGACTTCCTAATGATGATGTTTTTACAAAAAAATGACTGCCCAATGTTTTATGTTTTTACGAAAAAATGACTAACTTATGTTTATGTTTTTACATCAGGTTTTTCATTTCAAATTGGAACAAAATCAAAAGCTATTTTCTCAGTCCCTAGCCTTTGTCAGATAGAAATATGCTAATCTGTAACAATAGATGTTGCTACATTACATACAAAAAATGCCTATTTTACATCTTAGATAAATTTTTCTTTCCCATATCTGATAGTTACTGTAGATGCACAAGAAGAATGATAATTATTTTATTCCATGTCTTACCTCAAACCTTTCCTTATCTTTTGTTTTACTGCTTGTAGAAAAATTTCTATCAGCTTAAAAATCAGCAGGAAAATAAATATTATATCCCATTCAGTGCACAGGTACAAAAAAAACAGTCTTTAGATCTGAATCTTTATTTACGGTACACATTCAAAGTTTATATAAACAGTGGTAGGTGTTTGTTGATATGGATGCTATCTCGCACTATTAATTTTAACCCTCCCTGTAAGGTGCATGAATCACATTTAGATAGTGGATGATAACACCAGATCATCGGCCTACAGCGTTTTCAGTGATGGATGTCCCAGCTTTGGGGTAAAGGATATCTCTGATAACAGCCCCCTAGTTGTTAAAGGCATCCAGTGCAGTTTTTAGAGCCAGGAAACCCAATTTTATCAAAGCCAATATTTTATCTACATGACGTACTGTAAGTCTACAAATTTCCGCGGTATATTTAGATTCGCGGAATTCGCGGGGACCTTTGTACCGCGAATCTATTTCCCCGCGAATATGTTTTGCGTAAGTGTGCCCCCCTCCCCACATGCATTCACGAGGGCCGATTCACGACGGTAAGCGAAACACTGAAACAACACACGCGATCCACAAATCACTGCAAATCAACTTTATTCTCAGCAAATTTTTTAAGTTACTAGTATACTGATATCAAGAATAATATTATGAGACAGCGAATCGCGATACTGCGGCACTGGCCGTGTCAAACGTGCACCGCCGGACAAAAATCTTTGCGTGCAGAGCGCCGGCCATGCGCGCACGGGCACTTGAAAATTGCGGGCACTTCGGGCAAATCTACAAATATTTTGATGAAAAATAGAATTGCTGATATCTGGGAAATGTTAGTTGATTCTCTTTTGCGCCCTGCATTGCGGGCGTTTTTTCTTCTTCATGTTTTGCTGGATAGAAACGCTACCGTGGGCCTACAAAACCGAATGCGACCTTTGCATAGTTCCGGGTTCAAAATCTCGCCAAAAACGGCATAAATTTGCTTAGGAATATATATTTTATCGAAAGATTCTTACAATTATGCATTTCTTCACTAGATTATCGATGTTCAATCGTGGAAAACAGCGTTTTAGCGCTTATTTCCGAACAAAGACAATTGTTTACACGCGCGTCAGATTGATAGAGCTTTACCGCCGGCAGTCTCGCCCGGTGCACGAAACAAATTTCTGCGCCGCATTTTAGGAGATAAATGCCGGGACACGAACTGTTATTATTTTAAACATTCACTTAACAAGTTCTTCTTGGAATGGCCAAGGAGAAATCGCGAATCTAAAAATACCGCGGATTGTCCATTTTCCCGAAACCGCGAACTTTAGGCCCCGCGAATCTAAAGAGACTTACAGTACATACTGAGTTGAAACCACTCTATCCCAAGGTACATGTATATTGACCCTCGTGGAGCAAAAATTCCCCAAATTCTGACGGAAAATGGTTACTGGAAGGGCCCTGGGCTGATTTTTAGGGTACCACCCAGAAAATAAAGGACTTATCTTGGGGCTTGTTTCTGCAGAACTTGAAGTACAAAATACCTTTACCTTCAACAAGTTCAAGAGTATTTTTCTATCTTTTCGCACACACAGAATTTTGTTTTTTGCTCAATTCAACCTTTTTGCAGTCTTTTTTGCAGTGCTATTCATGTAAAAGGATGGTCACTATACTCTTTTTTGTTCCTATTGCATGTTGGAATTTTGAACAGATACACAATATTAATCAAATGTATAACAAACCAGCAGATGTACTGTTATGTTTCCTTTTGTACATGTATGTGTAATGAATGCATTTATCATTTGGCACCCTTCCCATGCAGACACAGGGCTCGAAATACTGGTGCCCCCAAAATTGGAGCTGTGCACCCAATTTTTTTCTGTGGGAGCATCAGTGCACCCAAATATTTTCGTAGGATTACGTAAACATGTTAAAGGTACAGTTACGGTAGTATACAGCATATTCCTAACACATAAGTGTCAGAAAAATAATTAAGTCATTCTTATAGTACGTTTCTTTAGAAATCAAACATATTTATAGTTTTTGTTGACATAATACTTATTTTATCTTGTATGGTGCACCCAAAAACATTTTTGTGCACCCAATTTTTTTAGGTTGGGTGCACCAGTGCACCTTTTCCCAAAAATGAATTTCGAGCCCTGAGACAAATGTACCATGCATGTCTTGTGTTGCAGTGAGAACCTTGTGGATTCATTCTTCTCTTTCTCTCTCCTTCTCTCTATCTATCACAAGCACGAATGTTTCCTCTCCGAGGTATGTCCCTCTGTCATCCTTCTTTGGGCCTCGCCAATTTCTTTCATTGGTTCTCGGCAAATTTTTGTGCAAAGTCCAGCAAGATTAGAACAAAACTAGACATTTGCAAAGCAAATTTGCATAATGTTTACCTTCAGACATGGTCTGCTCTGTTAATTCTTACTCAAACATATTCACATACATGTACTACTACTAGTATATGGTGACAGGAGCAGAACAGACCATGAAATTGCAACATTATGTAACCATGGTGACAGACGTCAACAAATCATGTCATTGGTCAGGTCAGAGGTCACTCTTTGGAGAAGAAGAAGAAGAAGAAACTGAGCAAAAACAATATGTTTTCCTTCAGTAGAAATAATGAAAACAGATGCCAATTTACTAGGATTTGTTTCTGAATCTGAGGTATGAGAACCAACATATTGAATTGGCGAGGCCTTGACTGTAGTGGCAGAAAAATTGTAGCCCCCTGCTTTAGCCCATTACCAAGCAGACGCATGGTGTCTCTGTGTACCTTCTATTGTTTTGTTTAAAAAAATGAGGGAGAAGACTCATATTTAAAGGCCTCCTTTTCGTGGGATAGAGACAATGGAGGGACCAAAATTAGATTTTTATGACCCATGACTTTGAAGAGTTAATATGATCCATGATGTACAATGTAATGTCAGTGAAGGTTACACATCCATGTAATAAGATACACCAAAAATAGATACTCAAACAACTCCAAAATCGTATCCAGTTGCTTGAGTAACTGTTTATGGTGTAATGAAATGAATGATTTGAATTGAAAGACTACGAAACTTAAAAAATACTCCTTAATATCAACGAGATTCAGTAGAACTTCTGAATTAAATCAGATTTTGGACTCAATAGTTGCTGCCTCAGTGAAAAGAGTACATTTGTTTGAACAATCAAACTTTCCACCCTACCTCTGCTTGGTTGTTGTGTTCATGCTCCTTTAGACACACCACTCACAGTAAAAGTCCGCAGAGAGAGAGTAATGTCATCTGGACATCCTTATCTGCCATGGTTCAACACCCCAATATACATGCAAATACACCATCCTCTAATATACATGTAAATAATATTGCCATCCTGTAATGTATACAATGTCCTGAAGGGCTCCAAATACCTCTCCACATGCTGGCTACAGCATTGTAAGTTAAACTAAGATGAGAAATATTACATTTTTCCTGTAGTTCTAGTTTACCTGAGGGTTTTGCACATTGCAGCTTGCCGGTGGGTATTTGGTGCTCTTAGGTTGTTATCAATGTGTGTCTGTAATCCTAATATTACCCTCCCAGCTTGTAGAGCTTTTAGCCAGTAGCATAGATTTAGATAATTTTTTACGTTTATTTACTTTAACAACTTGTATTTCTTAAACTTCTTTGTAGAATTTTGAAGATAAAAATCTGTATTTATCTTGTAAGAAAGATTGTATTTTGTGTAACTTATAGGCGAGACAGAGATCATGCAAAAATGGCGTTGACATTTTTTTTCTTTCATTATTTTCTGCCTCCTTCCTGTACCATTTACCACAAATTGTCAAAGCTGATAGGATCGCTCCTTTGTGTTCTCAGTTTGTTTGAATTTGAGGCAGTTTAAGCCCTATTATAGTTACACTAGTCGAAAATAAGCGTATTTTTTTAATTAATGGTCTTCAATTTAGCAAGGTCGCAAATGATAGGCATGGTTGCCTATTACGCTAAAATGCACCAGCTAGAACCCTGCTATAAAATGCTCTGTAGGGACACTGTGATAGCCTGAGATGGTTACCTCAATTCCACAACCTGCAGTTAGCATTACAGAATTTCTCTGTGTTGTCCTCTATCTTTCACATGCACACTGAGCCATTACAGGTGGTCTCACAGTGCCAGCTACATTTGCACCTAGATTGGCACATATCACAAATCAGTGACCACAAAATGCCCTTGGTTGGACTCCCATAGGCTGAGATGGTTTCAGTTGGTTTACATGTACAACAAAGTCCTTTCTGTAATAGTATTTCCTTATCTTTTTTATACATGCACAGTTCAGTTCAACCTCTGATAGGTGATACCAGCTTTTCCACAAGTCAGGTAGCACACACAGGCTATCACGTCGGCAGAACGTACTGCACCTGCACAAAACCCCCATTTTTCACGGTTTTTGTTGGATGTTTGGTCAACGGAAATGGTCATTTTGTCATGACTAGCTGTTTTCCCCTTATCTTTAGTTGGCAGTGTACAGTTACATTCACACTTGGATTGGAGAAATGTCCAGTGGCTATCTGATAGCGAATACGATGGTCAATTGAGTTGCTCGACTTGTAACAGAATTTTCTTGCTGTCACTCCTTTATCTTCAGTAACTAATGGTACCCAGATGAGTCATACCCTGTCAGATACTGTGGGACAATTTGAGTCACCCCAACATGCCTCCAAGGTACCCCCAGGGTGCACTCTGAAAGCCTGAAATTTAGCTTTAATTTCACCACCTCATAACAGATCAATTTTACACAATCAGCCTCAGTGAGCTTCAGATTCAGTCACTTTTTCAACCGCTATATTGGCCGTTGTCAGAAATCAATTGCAGAGATAGAAGTGCCCGTGGCTTTTCTGATAGCTTGCAATAGTCACTTCAATTGGTTTATATCAAAGTCTGTGCTGTCTTACTGTATCTTGAGTTTGCACTCAGATCCATGTGGCCTTGTACACTGTCTGACATTGTCAGTTACATAAGTACTAAATGCATGAAATGCCCAGTGGCAATTCTCATATAAAAGCATAATGTCACTTTAATTGCTCAACTAACATCGTAACTAAAAGGCTCTAGATGTTTTCTGTTATTTTCAGTTGGCACACGATCCATTAGTAGTACATTTGTAGGCATTATGCTGTCTGACAGTGTCAGGTAAATTTGTACCTCAATAGTTGAAATGCCTAGTGGCTATTCTCTTTGTAGCTAAGCAATGGTCACTTTAATCGCTCACCTTGGTAAAAAAAAAGTCCCTGCTGTCTTCTGCTATCTTCAGTCAAGGCACAATCCATTATATACTGTCTGACAGTGTCACTTACAATAGTTGAAATGCCCAGTGGCTATTCTCTTTGTAGCTAGGCAATGATCACTTAATTGCTCAACTTGGTAACAGAAAGTCCCTGCTGTCTTCTGCTATCATCCGATTCATTATATACTGTCAGACAGTGTCACTTAGTTTTGTACCTCAATAGTTGAAATGCCCAGTGGCTATTCTCTTTGTAGCTAAGAAACTTTGGTAAAAAAAAGTCCCTGCTGTCTTCTGCTATCTTCAGTCAAGGCACAATCCATTACAAGCTGTCTGACAGTGTCAGTTAGAGTTGTACTTGTAGTTGTATTTGAAATGCCTAGTGGCTATTTTCTTTGTAGCTAAGGAATGGTCACTTTAATTGCTCACCTTGGTAAAAAAAGTCCCTGCTGTCTTCTGCTATCTTCAGTTACCACACAATCCATTACATACTGTCTGACAGTGTCACTTAGTTTTGTACCTCAATAGTTGAAATGCCCAGTGGCTATTCTCTTTGTAGCTAAGAAACTTTGGTAAAAAAAAGTCCCTGCTGTCTTCTGCTATCTTCAGTCAAGGCACAATCCATTACAAGCTGTCTGACAGTGTCAGTTAGAGTTGTACTTGTAGTTGTATTTGAAATGCCTAGTGGCTATTTTCTTTGTAGCTAAGGAATGGTCACTTTAATTGCTCACCTTGGTAAAAAAAAGTCCCTGCTGTCTTCTGCTATCTTCAGTTACCACACAATCCATTACATACTGTCTGACAGTGTCACTTAGTTTTGTACCTCAATAGTTGAAATGCCCAGTGGCTATTTTCTTTGTAGCTAAGGAATGGTCACTTTAATTGCTCACCTTGGTAAAAAAAGTCCCTGCTGTCTTCTGCTATCTTCAGTTACCACACAATCCATTTCATACTGTCTGACAGTGTCACTTAGTTTTGTACCTCAATAGTTGAAATGCCCAGTGGCTATTCTCTTTGTAGCTAGGCAATGGTCACTTAAATTACTCACCTTGGTAAAAAAGTCCCTGCTGTCTTCTGTTATCTTCAGTTGGCGCACGATCCATTACATACTGTCTGACATTGTCATTTACGTTTGTACCTCAATTGTTGAAATGCCCAGTAGCTATTCTCATCTATAGCTAAGCAATGGTCACTTTAATGGCTAAAGCTACATAACAGAAAGTCCCTGCTGTCTTCTGTTATCTTCAGTTGGCACACGATCCATTACAAGCTGTCTGACAGTGTCACTTAGTTTTGTACCTCAATAGTTGAAATGCCCAGTGGCTATTCTCTTTGTAGCTAGGCAATGGTCACTTAATCGCTCACCTTGGTAAAAAAAGTCACTGCTGTCTTCTGCTATCTTGAGCTGGCACACAGTCCATTACATGCTGTCTGACAGTGTCACTTACATTTGTACATCAATATGAAATGCCCAGTAGCTATTCTCATCTATAGCTAAGCAATGATCACTTTATTGCTAAGTTACATAACAGAAAGTCCCTGCTGTCTTCTGTTATCTTCAGTTGACACACAATCCATTACATACTGTCTGACAGTGTCACTTAGTTTTGTACCTCAATAGTTGAAATGCCTAGTGGCTATTCTCTTTGTAGCTAAGGAATGGTCACTTTAATTGCTCACCTTGGTAACATTAAATCCCTGCTGTTTTCTGCTAACTTCAGTTGGCACACGATCCATTACAAGCTGTCTGACAGTGTCAGTTATAAATTAGAGTTGTACTTGTAGTTGTATTTGAAATGCCCAGTGGCTATTCTCTTTGTAGCTAAACAATGGTCACTTTAATTGCTCACCTTGGTAAAAAAAAGTCCCTGCTGTCTTCTGCTATCTTCAGTTGACACACAATCCATTACATGCTGTCTGACAGTGTCACTTAGTTTTGTACCTCAATAGTTGAAATGCCTAGTGGCTGTTCTCTTTGTAGCTAAACAATGGTCACTTTAATTGCTCACCTTGGTAAAAAAAAATCCCTGCTGTTTTCTGTTATCTTCAGTTGGCACACAGATCCATTACAAGCTGTCTGACAGTGTCACTTAGTTTTGTACATCAATAGTTGAAATGCCCGGTAGCTATTCTCATATCTAAGCAATGGTCACTTTAATTGCTCACTTTGGTAAAAAAAAGTCCCTGCTGTCTTCTGCTATCTTCAGTTGGCACACTGATCCATTACATACTGTCTGACAGTGTCACTTAGTTTTGTACCTCAATAGTTGAAATGCCCAGTGGCTGTTCTCTTTGTAACTAGGCAATGGTCACTTTAATTGCACAATTTGGAAAGTAAAAGTCCCTGCTGTCTTCTGCTATCTTGAGCTGGCACACAATCCATTACATACTGTCTGACAGTGTCACTTACATTTGTACCTGATGTTTGAAATGCCTAGTGGCTGTTCTCTTTGTAGCTAGGGAATGGTCACTTAATCGCTCACCTTGGTTAAAAAAAGTCCCTGCTGTCTTCTGCTATCTTCAGTTGGCGCACGATCCATTACATACTGTCTGACAGTGTCACTTACATTTGTACATCAATAGTTAAAATGCCCAGAGGCTATTCTCTTTGTAGCTAAGCAATGGTCACTTTAATTGCTCACTTTGGTAAAAAAAGTCCCTGCTGTCTTCTGTTATCTTCAGTTGGCGCACGATCCATTACATACTGTCTGACATTGTCATTTACATTTGTGCATCAATAGTTGAAATGCCCAGTGGCTATTCTCATCTATAGCTAAGCAATGATCACTTTATTGCTAAGTTACATAATAGAAAGTAGCTCTTGTTCCATCCTTATCTCTAGATACCACACAATCAATCATTTGCAGTGTGACAGTGTTACATTTGTACCTGATGTTTGAAATGCCCAGTGGCTACTCAGATAAAGCAATAGTCACTTAAATTGCGAAGCCTCATAACAGAGTTTAAGTAACTCTAGTTGTATCCTTATCTTTGACAGTGTCACTTACATTTGTGCCTTGATGGTTGAAATGCCCAATAGCTATTCTTTACTTCTTGTAGCTTTTTGACAGTCACTTTTTTTTAGTTTTATTGTTCAGAACTCAGAACAGAAAGTCCAGTATTGTTGTTTCTCTAATATAATAAATAAGGTCAATGACCTGGACCAAATGGCTGGCACTGTTGCATTATGTAGCAAGTGGTAGAACAGAATTGGAGGGGCTGGTCACCATGTATATGAATTGGTTTGAGTAAGAATAAACAGAGCAGTAGTTTGTTAGGCTAGACCATGTGAAGGTAAACACATTATTTATATATAGTTTTAGTTTCAGTTTATTAATTTCACCAGCAATAATACTTATAGGTACATAACAACCTGTTTTTCAGGCAATGCTGGGCATACAAAGCACAAATAACAGACTATACTATACTATATTACAAAATCACATACAATACAGAATGACATGCTTTGCAAATGTAACTTTTATAAATCAAATCAACATTATTGCTCAACAACTGTAGCTGGTACAATGTATGGCAAAGAAACAACAAGGGTACATACAAACTAATACTAAGATATAATTCTAACGAGCTAGTCTATAATGATACTAAAGCTAATCTATTGTGTTTTCTTAGGAAGAGTATTATTACATTCTGTAATTCAGGGGATATATCAGCTATTTATAATATGGTGTCGCTTTTGTAGTGATTCAAATATGAATTTTCCAACGTACACTGATATCTGAGTAGGACATGAAAGGAGCATATTTATATCTAAACCCTGTTCTCCACCCTTGTCTTGCCCTGTCCAGGTGATGTTTACTGAAGAAGATGTGAAGTTCTACCTGGCAGAGTTAGCTCTGGCGCTGGACCATCTTCATTCCCTGGGTATAATCTACAGGGACCTCAAACCTGAGAAGTAAGTAGTACACAGGCTGTAGCATGTTTAGTGACCATACCTCTGGACCAAGAGGTTAGGGGTTTGAATCCCGGCAGTTAGCTCTGGTGCAGGACCAGTTTCACTCTCTGGATATCATCTACAGGGACCTCAAACCTGAGAAGTAAGTAGTACACAGAAAGTAGCATGTGGAGTCCAGTGGTTAGTGACCCTGAACCAAGTGGTTAGGGGTTTGAATCCTCGCAGCTAGCTCAACCATCATCTACAGGGACCTCAAAACTGAGAAGTAAGACCTGTCCTTGGTGCTGAATGCTTGCCGACTGTTACTGTTACTGGATGCCTTTACGCTGTCCTTGGTACTGAATGCTTTCTACTGAATGCTTTTCAAACCTGAGAAGGAAGTCCTGTCCTTGGTGCTGACTGTTACTGTTACTGGATTTTATGCTGTCCTTTGTACTGAATACTTTCTACTGAATGCTTTCTAACTAATATTGGATTACTAGCAGTGTATTGGGTTTCCAAGAATCCTTTCAATATGTTTCTTTTACAACCTAACCTCAGACTTACATCAGGGATAGAACTAGTAGTAGGCTGTCCTTGGTACTGAATGCTTTCTACTGAATGCTTTCTGCCTAATATTGGATTTCTAACAGTATATTGGGTTTCCAGGAACCCTTTCAATACGTTTCTTTTACAACCTAACCTCAGACTTACATGAGGGCTAGAACTAGTAGTAGGCTGTCCATGGTACTGATGCTTTCTACCGAAAGCTTCCCAATATTGGATTACTAGCAGTATATTGGGTTTCCAAGAATCCTTTCAATACGTTTCTTTTACAACCTAACCTCAGACTTATATCAGGGCTAGAACTAGTAGTAGGCTGTCCATGGTACTGATGCTTTCTACCGAAAGATTTCTACCCAATATTGGATTACTAGCAGTATATTGGGTTTCCAGGAACTCTTTCAGATTGTTTCTTTCACAACCAAACCTCAGACTTACATCTGGACTAGAACTAGTAGGCTGTCCTTGGTACTGATGCTTTCTACTGAAAGATTTCTACCCAATATTGGATTACTAGCAGTATATTGGGTTTCCAAGAACCCTTTCAGTATGTTTCTTTCACAACCAAACCTCAGACTTACATCTGGACTAGAACTAGTAGGCTGTCCTTGGTACTGAATACTTTCTACTGAATGCTTTTTACCCAATTGGATTACTAGCAGTATATTGGGTTTCCAAGAACCCTTTCAGTATTTTTCTTTCACAACCTAACCTCAGACTTACATCTGGACTAGAACTAGTAGTAGGCTGTCCTTGGTACTGATGCTTTCTACTGAGAGCTTCCCAATATTGGATTACTAGCAGTATATTGGGTTTCCAGGAATCCTTTCAATACGTTTCTTTCGCAATGTAAACTTAGGTTCATATGAGAGCTGGAGTTAGCAGTAAACATTCTTTCATCTGGTGAAAATAATGATGGTGGCTTCAGCTTTTCTCTCTGAAGAGTTTTTAGCTCAAAGCTATCATTTAAGTTGACCCAGTTTTTCAGTATTGGCTATGCAGGCCACACACCCACACACCTACATACACACTGAGTGGTTATGTAGGTGAGATTTTACACACTGAATGTTTAGATCACTAAGTATAACCTTCTGACATGTCTACTTTGGAATAATCGTAGCTTCCAGGCATGGTGACCTAGTTACATCCTCTTTAGTTACACTCCAGGCAAAGTGCGACCACTGAGCACCTAGAGATTTGACAATGAATTGAGCTCAACAAATTTCATAGACATAGATCAAATTTTCACAGTTTCATGTGTTTTGTTGTCTTTTAATTGAAATTTTCATATTGCAGTTATAAAACCAAGGGCCACACAAACCCAATTTTGGTCACTCAGTAGAAAAATTGTATATATTGCAGCAAAAGTTTTCATTTTGGAGACAGGTATTTTGAGCTCTGCATACTTGAAAATTACACATTGCCCCACACCAAGTGATTGCCTTTGATACTGTTACAATCTACACATGCTGATGTACTGGGTGCTTTTATATAATCCTTAACCAAAGTGATGTTTGCTTATTAATGATGTAGTGACTAAAGATTGGTAACATTTGCAATGTTCTTGATTGTTTTTTAAATTTGTTTTTTTCAGCATTCTGTTGGATGCAGATGGACATATCAAGCTGACAGGTAGGACGTTTCAGACTAATGAATTATTTTACTATTAATAATACATGTATATAACTTATAAGAGGCCATGTGATGAATGAGAATAAAAAAATAATGATTATGACATTTGTGAAACAAAAAAAAAATACACTGAATAATGAATTTTAGGAGCAATCATACAAATTTAAACAACAAATAAGAGTTATCACACCTTTGGAAAATTGAATTTATGGACACGACCAAAGGTTATATCCTACATGTTTTCAACTGGCCTGGTTCTAGGACAGAATCCTTGTAGTAAACAAGCCCTAAAAGCGTGACGTGTGTGGGTGCAGTGTTCCAATTATGACACCCGCATGTTATATTAAGCACACAGGATGTCACTGACCTGCAACTGGATATATAGCCTCCATGTAAGGAGACACCAAAGCATGGAGGTTCCCAATATGGAAACATGTCCAGACTGGTTTATTCTTAGCACTGCCGCAGGAAATGATTTATTTGTAGACACCAGTGTTACCAAATATAACTGTACACCAGAGTTGTTGTTTTCTTGAAAATAGCAAGACAGAAAGAGTCAATGAATATTAACAACTTAAAGGAAAATGTAGAACATTTTCCTGAAAAAATTACTCTCAAGGTTGTACTTTACAATGCACATGTAATTTGTTGGTTTTTGAAAAATAAATATCAAGCTGAAAGATCTTCATGGAACTTAAGTCTGTACCTTGGTACACACAGTAACTGTTTCAGGTAGTCAATATAGTTTTAAGTTTCCCCCCAACACTCTGTTTTTTTTATCTTGAACAGTCTGTTGCTGATTCGTTCCTTCAAAATGTTGTAGATCCAAAGAAACTTTTCTGGGGGAGGTACATATGATCATCACTTCAATACTTTACTCATACTCATCTTTAACAGTTAGTACAACAGTCATCGATCAGTGATCAGTTTTTGAAAGGTACTAGTGAACTTTTACCTCCAAATTTTCAACATCTAACTGTATGCCTTGATCGCGGAGTAACCTAGTCTTACAAAAACAGAAGACAAGGTCGAGACTTGTGTAGGTCTTCTGGCCTCCCCCCTCCTCCTTTCCTTCTTAATTATCTTTGTTCTTCCTTCGCCAGATTTTGGCCTGAGTAAGGAAGCTATCGAGGACAAGAAAGCGTACTCCTTCTGTGGTACTGTGGAGTACATGGCACCTGAGGTAGTGAACAGGAGGGGCCATAATCACACCGCCGACTGGTGGTCGTACGGAGTCCTTATGGTGGGTGTTTGTTTGTCTGTGTGTCTATGTGTGTGTGTAAGTGTGTGTATGTGTGCGTGTGCGTGCATGCGCGTGCGTATGTCTGTGTCTGTCTGTGTGTGTGTGTGTGTGCATGTGTGTGGTGTCTGTGTGTGCGTGTGTGTGTGTGTGTATGTGTGTGTGTGTGCATGTGTGTGTCTGTGTGTGTGTGTGTGTATTTGTGTCTGTGTGTGTGTGTGCACAATGGGTCCTTACGGTAGGTTTCATGTTTATAAAATATAAATTATATGTTTCATGTATCGCTTTACAAATTCACACCTATGAATTCGTTGTAACTTCTATTTAGATTACAACTGCATTGAACGGAAACTTGTTATGACTAGTGATGCATACCTAAACCCAATTTTAGGTTCAGGTCCAGATTCAAGTCCAGAGGTTTAGGTTCAGTTCCGGACTTGTAAGTCCGGACCTAAACCCATGGCATATACAAAATTGCATCTTGGCAACCTTGCAATGTTGTCTGGGTGAAACTTTGGCCACTTAACATGCATATATGGAGGCCGGTACTTGACGATGCCCAATGGCAATGTTTTCTTCATTTTGCAGCAAAGATTTTGCAATCTACAGAAGGTTTTAGGTGGTTTGGAAAGAAAAGGGGTATGTAAAATGGTATTTTATGGTAATAAGTCCGGACTCGGTTCTTGACTTTTAGGTTTTTTTGGACTTGAACCTAAACATTCTTACAAGTCTGGATTCAAGTCCAGTGAACCGGTATGCATCACTTAGTTATGACTGTACAGTAGTATGTACAGTATGTAAATGTTTTTCTTCTTTTCTGTTCTCTTCTCTTCCCCCAGTTTGAGATGTTGACTGGTGCCTTACCATTCCAAGGGCAGAACAGGAAGGACACAATGACTATGATTCTCAAGTAAGAAATAATCTGCAAAGATTTCATTTGTTGGTTTGTAGATATAAGAGAAAAATCCTGCTCAAATGGAAGATCAACTTGAAAACTTTGTGGGGTCATGACTTTTTTTGTGGCACAACAGCAGAGTGCTCCACTTGGAATCAAGAGGTCCCGGGTTCGAGTCCTGACATGCCACCGATCTTGTGCCCTTGGGAAAGGCCCTTTACACGGCTTTCCCCACTAGACTCAAGTGAAAATGAGTATTGTCTGTCCAGTATTCGTTTCGATGTGTGGGACAGAACACCAGCAGCAGCTGCCTCTGTTCCGCGTGTATTACATTGTTGCAATTTCAATAAAATAAAAATAAATAAAAAATAAAAACAGAGTCTGAGGGGAAAGTGTGCACCTTGGTACACACAGTTTCAGGGTCAGGGTCAGTCTGGCTCCAAGGCTCAAACAACTTTTCAGTTTTTTCTGTAAACCTGTGCCAGTGCAGATAACATTTAAAATAACCTGCACCAGACAGACAAAATTTACCTGCACTACTCAGAATTTCGGAAGCATGGATTGTACCAAACACTGTTCAGAAACCATTGCCATTATTTCTTTATTTTATACATCATAGGTAACTAAAAATTCACATGCACCTGCATGTATACATAAACCCAGTACATGGACCAGGTTAGGTGCAGCTAGACATTAGAAACACCTGCACAGCTCAATTTGCAGGTGAAACATTGAGCCCTGACATCCGTCTAGCTTGAATTTGTTGTTAAGTATGTCGAGAAACAAGGAAATAAGTTTGCATGGCCTTGCTAGCGTGGCAGACTGTAAACTAGTAATGATTTCTCGTAAAGGCGAATCTTCTAGTTCAATAAAAGCGTGGGTGATACCGGGACAAACGGGGATAAAATTTGTCGCTTCCGTGAACGAATAAGACAGGAAAGACCTCTACTCTCTGAAAGCATCAAGAATTCCATTTTTCTTGCAGGAATAATCGCGTTATCCCCACATCCTGCTCCCCTATATAGGTCAGCTTTCGGGAAATGGTTTAAAAGCTTTTAGTAGAATTCATGCAGTCTCAGTAAAAAGCCAATTTTGTCCGGAAGGCGTATTAAGGAATCATCTCATATGAATCCTGTTCCCAAAGTAATTATGCTCGCTGGGTAACAGGAGCATTGAACGCTGTTAGAAGTCATCGAAGCTGCATAATAACTGAGGAAAAGAGTGAGTAAGAGTGGGTGGTTGATTTGCTGAGTTTCTTGGCTTCGGGGTAGAAATCTGACAGCTTTCGCAGAGTGGGCGTTTAGAGACATACAGCAAGTCATTTTCAAGAGTGTTATCAGTATATTACAGTAAAGGCTGTCTAGAAATAAAACCCATGTGGTCGGAGGCAATTTCTCCGGATCGTTTATGAACCCTAAATCATTATGACAGTCATATATAGTTACATAATTATGTAAAAAGTCTATCCTTTTGCTTTGGCTAATGTGAAAATAAAAATGAAAGAAGACTGGTCATAACAATATTCACAGTGACTCACTGAAACTGTGTAAACCTACTTTATCCTCAGACTCTCCAGGGCTCGAAATACATGTACATGCACCCAAAGTTTGAGCTGTACACCCAATTTTTTTCTGTGGGTGCACTGGTGCACTCAAATATTTTTGTACATATTAAATGTATACAGGATATTCCTTACATCTAAGTGTCAGAAAAATGTCAGAAAAATCTTTGTTTTAGTACTTGTTTAAGATTTTAAAGTTAGCACCCATTTCAGATTCAAGCTCAGAAGTGGAGCAGTGAGATCTGTAATTATTTTTCTGGTGCACCCAGAAAATTTGTTGTGCACCTAATTTTTAGGTAAGGTGCACCAGTGCACCTTTAACCAAAAATAACTTTCAAGCCCTGCTCTGTTTTCATGTTTACATACTGATTTAACATTCTATTTTTTAAATCTGGGAACCTACGAATTGAGTTGGTGTGGCCTTATTGCTCATAAGCTTGACTTAATGTCATCGAGTGCAATTCAGAAACTGAGAAACGAATTAAGCCTAATCCACAAAGACCTCGTTTAGGGAAAATCTTTGGTCCAGAAAATGTAGCTGACTTCAATATGAGCCTCATTCTGTATTCATAGCCTCATTAGCAGGAGTGCGTGGTATGAAATGGTGTTAGGGCAAAACTAATGTAACTACTTGTTTAAGGATGCCAAGGAACTACAGAGAAAAACAAGTTACACATGAAACAGGACGGAAAATTTTGATAAAGTTAGTAAAGACAATTACAGGTCAAAACAAGCCACTACTGGCGAAAATTGTGAGCGCCGGCTTCTTTGGTTTAAAATTTCAAAAATATTTGTCACAACATAATTTATGTAGTATGTAGTCTTTCATTTTATATCAAGCTTTGGTTACATTGTAGTTTTTTTTTCCAGGGCTAGGCATAGCATTTCACTACCTCAAACAGTTGATGAAAAATACACAATTGTAGATGATGGTGCTAACATCATTTTCCCCCCTTCTCCAGGGCCAAACTTGGTATGCCCCAGTTCCTGAGTCCAGAAGCACAGAGTCTGCTCAGGATGCTGTTCAAGAGGAACCCACAGAACAGATTAGGTAGGTATTGTATGAACAAGATTGAACTGGGATTTCCAACACAGCAAAAACTGGACTCACCCAAATTTTTGTACAGATCCAGTCTTTGTCAAGGAATAAGCAATCCAATTGGTACAGTCAAAAATTTGGGTGAGTCCAATTTGTTGTGTTGGAAATTGCAGTTTAAACTTGCTTCATAATGATTTCTACCAGCACAGATGAACTTTCAAGATTATGAGGTATGTATTGTGTTTACCTTTGCAGAATGTTTTTGCTGAGTTTCTTCTTCTTCAGTTCCAAACATGTTAGGTCAATGACCTGGATCAGACATCTGTCACCATGGTAACTGGTGCTGTAGCAGACACCATGTGGTGTTGGGTTACATTATGTAGCAGAACAGAGTTGGAGAGCCTGCATACCATACATATGAAGTTATTTGGCTTTGAGTAAGAATAAACAGTGTATTAGTTTGTTCAGCTAGACAGGTAAACATTATGCATTTGCTTTGCAAATGTTATCTTTTTAGTTTATTTTTTTGCCTGGTCGCTTCATGTTTTTTCTTTTTAAAAAAATCTGAGAAACAACATATCAAATTGGTGTGGCCTTAATAAGAAATGCTGTGAAATTGGTGTAATGCCCAACCTGGGGGCAATCTGGGGTAACTCAATCTGGGGGTAAAGTGTGGGGTGGGTGGAAGGTCATAGCAAATTATTACCCTGGTTCTTGAACTTTTCCAAGAACTATCAGTGGAACTCATTGCCACCCATCAATGGGCATCATCACTAGAAAGCTTTGAACAACTCCTGCAATCAAATGTGCAAAGATTGAGTGTAACAAGTCGTTCCGTATGATATAGCTAGCTGGAGGCTATAACGATACAGATACGTTTTAGATGAAAAATTAAGATAAAATTGACAAGGAGGAAGACTTGAATCCCTACACAGATGTGTAGGGATACAACTCTTCTCTCTGTTTTCATGTTGAACTTCATTTTATAGTTATAAGCATCTCCCTCTCTGATCTATCCCTTAGTCTAGTCATTTGAGCGTCATCTGTTCAAATCTGAGAACCACTAAGGCCATGTTGATTTGATTATATGGATGACATCCGCGCACGCATGAATTTTCGGCCGTTTCCAAAAAAAAAAACAGTTTTCAACCATACTGAAATCGTGCAAAACAGTTGCTAAATGAGCAAAAATATACCGTAAGTTGCAAGGAAAACATTTAGAAATGATACCAATGTCGTAGAATGCCAAAATCAAAGAAAAAAAGACAAAAATGTAAAGAAATGAATTCGTAGAGTAGATTATTCGCCATAACATATTCTGTGCCATTTGTTCAACTTTCATGACCACGTAGATTTCATAGTGAAAGCAACTTGGCCTAAATTGACTAGGGGTGGGCGTAAGTACGGTTAAGCCAGGCCACGGGCGACATTACTCACCAGCAAACCTATAACCAATCAAACTGTGCTCTGTGGTGGGAATAATGGGGAAACACAGGACTGGAAATACTGGCTGCAAGTGCACCTTAGTGCACCCAAAATTTGAGCTGTGCACCAAATTCTTTTCTGTGGTTGCAGCAGTGCACCCAAGTATTTTTGTAAGACTATTTTTGTACATATCAAATGTCTAATAGTATACAGGATATTCTTGGCATCTAAGTGTCAGAAAAATAATAAAATCTTTGTAGTAGTACTTGTTTAGATTTTGAATTTAGCTCCCAGTAAGATCTGTAAGTAGGTTTTGTTTTGTATGGTGCGCCCAAAAAAATGTTTGTGCACCCAGTGTTTTAGGTTGGGTGCACCTGAGAAAGGTCTCCCGTGCTCTGTGCAGAGCATAGGGTTTGGTGCCCATGTCCATTTCCGTAGCCCTTGGGCGACACACAGTTGTGCAAGGCACTACCGCAGGGGGCTAGTCCGCTGGTAGTGCTGTGTTTGACCTTCCCATTGTATATGTTGAGTGCTAAGCAGAGAAAGAAGTGTGTACCACCTGAGCACCTGTTCCCCAAAATGAATTTCGAGCCCTGGGGAAACATGGGTTTCCGAACGGAGCTAGAAACCTTCCAAGGGTGATTAAAGAGTCTCCCTTAAGAAGGTGCGTAGGAGGATGACTCAAGGAGGTGATGGTGTCTTTAAGGTGCAAGTAGGAGGTCAAGGGAGACTACTTTTCCTCCTTCTTCTTCAAACATTCCTTCATAACTCATGCCTAATGTACAGTGGGGTGGTTTGTACATGTAACACAAGGTTACCAGTTTACGGTTGAAATATGGAAATTTTTTTGTAAAAAGGCGTAGGCAGAACCAAATATTTAAGCCATGTGAAGAAATGGTTTAAAAAGTGTGTGCAACTAGACTAAGTGACTTTTTAAAAAATCTACGAAATGTGGAGTGTTGTATTATGTGAAAAATATGACATGCATCCAAGTCCGTGTTTCCTTGCTGTCCCATCATTTTGGAAGATATTTTGATATGCCACTGAATGCATACTTATTCCTGGCATTGAATTTTAAAAGACATGTATAAGGATTCCAACATTCCTTCATAACTCAAGTCTGATGTACAGTGGGGCGTTTGGTACATGTACATGTAGGTTTTCCCTGGCCACATGTTAAACCATGTAACAACTACAAATTATGTGCCAACAGCCTTCAGCTTAATTCCAGAATCCCCCTTAATTTAGGGCTAATTCCCATATCTCAGCAACCTTACTAACATCGTAAACTAGAGGGAAAAAATGATGTAAAAATGCGTAGCATCCATTGAAGACCCCTTGGGGTTTAACCTCTAAACTGGATCCAGAATTCTGGGAACTGGAGCCAGAATTCTGGGAACTGGAGTCAGAATTCTGCAGTATTTCTTACATTTTTTTTACCTATACTATAGTTTAGGATATTAGCCCATCTAGATGTAAGGTTCCTGAGATATAGGAATTAAAATGAATTTCTGGAATTAAACTGGAGCTGTTTTCCACAAATTACTTTTTTCGAGGAGCTTGGGCCAGAAGATGTCCCATTATGAAGTCTTCTTGTGAATAACCAATCAAACTCGGATGTGTATCGCGAAAATAAGAATCTTTGCTCAAGTGATGAACAAGCCTTCCATCAGGACGTGCGTAGGAGGATCACTCAAAAACCATCCTTAAGGCACTTACAGGGTCAAAGGAGGACAAGTGTTACTCATTTTTCTTCAGAGCTACATCCTTCAAAAATAAATTCTAAATCCTTCAGAGCTAAGAATCCTTCAAAAAATACTTTAGAAGAAATGGTTTCACACTGTAAGGGAGGACTTCCACCACTCAAACCTACACATGTACATACGTGTGTATTAACGTCAACCCACAGGATAGAGGCAAAAGGCGGGCTGCCATCAAGCCTCAGCAAAGGTGTGCAAGCACATCTAACCCCCTGAAGTCGGAAACAACAGATGCTAAACCGAGTAGTTTCTGTATAGCCGGTATAATCGCCCCTCGGTGTAACACACCAGCTTCGCAGGCACGCGATGTGGCAGCAGCTGGCTACATTACACCGATCAAATTGTTACACCTAACCCTTGAACTTCTAACTCTAGACATTGTTTAAAGCTATGTAATGACAATGCCCCTACTGTACTTTGTTACAGCGAGTTCCACTCTGCGATAGTGCTAGGAAAAAATGATATTCTTGAACACCTCAATCCTTGATTGATAGTGAATGAGTATGTGTGTGTGTGATGTACTGTACTCCAGGTGCTAATGTTGCTTCTATTTTCTGTTGTGTTTGACTTTAGGTGCTGGCCCAGACGGTGTAGAGGAGATCAAGAGGCATAATTTCTTTGCCAGCATCGACTGGGAGGTGAGTGAGTGGTTTGTTTGTTACACGGATGAAATAATAATTTACTATAGAAATGCAGGTAAAGATACACACAGAAAAAAAAAAGATACTCAAGCAACTGGATATGATTTTGGACATAGTCAGACGTTTCAGGTAGCATCCACTACCTTTCATCAATGACACTGACTGTGGCTTTACACAGGGAGCTTTGAAAAGCGCCAACATGCTAACCTGTATAAATAAATAAAAAATGAAATGAAATGAAACTGATGAGATGTCAAGATCATAGGATTATATTTATAACAGAAAATTTTCCAATGTTTTATTTTGCCACTCAGGGATTCTCATCCACATGTGAAAATACATGTCTGCAATTGTTATGCAATCTGTGGCAGGGAATGATTAAAATTAACATTATTTTGGCATGTTTATGTGGATTATTTACTTTCATTTATTTATTCCTGTTGTTTCCATAGAAACTGTTGAAGAAGCAAGTGCCGCCACCTTTCAAGCCGGCCGTGACTCGGGACGAGGACGCTTTCTACTTCGACACAGAATTCACATCCAGGACACCTCGAGGTACGAAATATGCACCAATATTAGGTCAAAGATGTTTCTTGCTTTACATGTACCATAGGAATGGTTGGGACTTGAAATCATTCTTGTTAATCAGTCTACTGGTAAGGGTTGGAGTTCTCAAAAGGAGCTGTAGCTATTTATCTGTCCATCCACACCTTTAGTATATTAAAGAACCCTTGGATTGATGATAGCAAGCAACATTTATGCCTGATGTATGTCAATCAGTACTTACTAGTAATACTAGTTTCAGAACCGTTATAACAGCCTAAAATTCTGCAGAAAAATGCCTGTGAGTCAAGTCAAGTTTAATTTGTGTAGCCTTTCCTAAACTTTCTTCAAGCAATTTTGGGTCAAAAGGGTACCCGGGTGCAAGGTCTCATATTCCTGTGCAGATTCACCAGGAGTATGACTAATCTGCTCAACATGTACCTTATAAAAGACTATTATGGAGTGAGAATGTGCTTTAACAAGCATGTATCGATGTATGTTAACGACATCAGAAAACAATTATTTAGCACCGTGTCCAAAATGCTCCCTTACTTCCCCACCATTCCCTACCACAAAAAAAACAAACAATTTTACTACTAAAATCAAAGAACCCACATATTATAGAAGAAGTGGGTAAATTCGTCTTCCACTGCCTAAAAAGAAGAAGTCAAACCCAGTAAAACTAGTACCATGCATGTTGTAAAATATAGTATAATGCTAGAAGTAGATATACATGTAGTCTCACATACCACCGTATTTTCTTTCTTATGTTGTTTGTAACTGCAATTAGCCCTTGGGCATGTATTTGCAATAAACTTTCATTAAATGTTGAAACTGTTTTTGTTTCAGATTCGCCGGGAGTTCCCCCCAGTGCCACAGCCCATGAGCTGTTCAGAGGCTTCAGCTTCGTCGCCCCCTGTCTGTTGGACGAGGTAACGCAGGGACAGGCTCAACAGCTCGACAAGGTCAAGGAGATACAGCGCCGCCCGGTAAGCTTTTTTTACATCCTGACTTTTCTGATCGTTGAAACTTACATGTTCTTGCATTACTGTTTTTAATTCAAGCTAAATCCCAAATTATTTATTTCATTTTAAAGGCATCCGATGCAGTTTTTAGGGCTTGGGAACCCGATTTTTCAAAGTCAATATTCTAGTTGTTTATCTACATATTGAGTTGAAACAACACTGTCCCAAATATTGACCCTCTTGGAGCAAAAATTCCCAAAATTTTAAGGGAAAATGGTTGGTGGAAGGGCCCTTGGCTGATTCTCAAAGATAAGGGACTCATCTTGGGGCTTGTTTCTGCAGTTGTAAAAGCCCCAGGTACATGTACATGTATGAAATACTGACTCAAGCCATGTGCACATTGTGTATATTCTTTATCTCCATATACATGTACAAAAAACATATACAGCTGCCTTGAAGCGAGAAGTGTAAAGTTGTAACAGAAATGTTAAATTGTAAAAGTCAAATTTTATGTTTGTTTTCCAGCTTGGGAAGACAACAGCCTTCACAGATGAGTATGAGATTAAGGAGGTATGTTCTGTCTTCTGTTCTCTTGCTCTTCTGTTAAGCTGTGTTAAGCCTTGTACATCCCAAATATTTAGCATCTGTGTTTTCCTACTGTACTACCATTGATAATGATTTTGTGCCTTCATAAAACCTACATTGTACATTGTTCTGTTTCAGGATATCGGACTTGGTTCCTACTCCATTTGCAAAAGATGTCTCCACAAGAGTTCTGGTCAAGAGTATGCAGTAAAGGTTCGTTGATGCCATCCCATTTTTTTCGTTGAAGTGCTAAGAAGTTTATGTCTTTAATGACATTTTTTTGGTGGGAGGGGTTACTACAGAATGTATAGTGTTGAGATCTCGTGTTCTGGACATGCTGTGGTCATGAATTTTTAACGTTATCCCTTTTTTAAAAATGCACTCGCTCTCAGTTAGATTATAGTGTTTCTTTAGTTGAAGACATTGAAGATATTGTCTTTCTCAAATTCCCTCCACCCAATGCCTTTCTCGTCTTCATCAGCAACTCGTTTTGACTGTGACAATGTCCTGTTTTTCCAGATCATCGACCGGACAAAGCGGGACCCAGCAGAGGAAATCGAGATCCTCCTTCGCTATGGCAACCACCCAAACATCATCACCCTCAGAGATGTGAGTTGCGCTGCTTTAGGTGTCATAAAAATAAAGGAAATGTAATGGGTGCAGGAGGAGAGGAGAGTTATTTCCATTTGTTTGGAAGTCAGTGGCTAGGTTGCAGACTTTGTATCCTCGTGGTAACAAAACATTGTGTTAATCTTTAGTGGAGGGCATCCAGACTAGAAGGCTAGCTTGGTTTGATCAGGTAATAAGGTGACCAGCACACACAGGTTCAATAACCCTAAACCAGACACTTAGCGACACAGGATAAAAGAGACAGAATTAGGGGCCAGGTACTTTGTTGCTTGGAGACTTATAGATACATGTAGGAGCAAGAGGATAGCTACTGGCCTAATAAAATAGGCAGGCGCAAGACAATGTCGTGGGGTCATCTGGCATTAGAGCAGAGTATTCAACTCTGAACCAAGAGGTTCGAATCCTGCCCATGTCACTGATCCTTTGCCCTTGGGAAAGGTACTTAACATGACTTTCCTCACTTCACTCAGGTGAAAATGAGTATGCCAGAATGATCATTATCTTGTTCGTATGCATTAAAGGAAGAAGACGATGAACATATCTCACCTGTGCTTTTCCCAGGTAACCAGGTGTACCTGGTGACAGACACAATGTCTCACCTGTGTTTTTACCTTACCTGTCCCCCAGGTGTACGAGGCAGGTAACCAGGTGTACCTGGTGACAGAGCTGATGAAGGGAGGAGAGCTGCTGGACAAGATCCTCAGACAAAAGTTTTTCTCGGAGCGGGAGGCGAGCGCTGCCCTGCAGACCATCACCTCCGCCGTCGACTTCCTGCACAAGAAAGGGGTGAGGAGAAACTTTATCTATCCAGACCTATGCCTGTCTAGGTCTATGCCAGACTGTTTTACGGTTATACATGTACACATGTTCATATGGAAGCCGGCACAGTTCTGTACAGTCTCCACATATGCAATAACGTAGGTTTGCCCCAGGCGGGAACTATTCTATTCAGCTATACGTCATACATGCGTCAACTGTTACAGTACCTGAGAATGGTACCGGATAAATTGTGGTTCTGAATACCACAAACCTAATCTGTTATGACATCAGTCTGCCAGGGTAACAGTTTTGTACCAAATTTGTATTCATACAATCAGGATCAGAAACGTCACGATGGTAATTGGTGCTGTATAGCAGAAACCTTGTGGTGTTGGGCTACATTATGTAGCAAGTGGCAGGACAGGCTGGTCACCATACATGTGACTGAACAGAGAAGTACATTGTACATGTAGTTTGTTAGGCTGCACCATGTGAAGGTAAACTACTAAATTAACATGATGTATTTGCTTTTTAAATGTTACGTGTGTTTAAGTTCAGTAAGATAATTCTTTCAATCAGTGACTATTAATCCTAAGGTACATACCTCCGAATTTTCGACGACTAGTCAGTTCGTCTTGGTCACGGAATAATCCTAGTCTCGCAAGGTAACGCGAGACTAGGACGAGACTTGCGTGGATCTTCTGCCCCCCTCTGCCTCCTTGCGGAGTAGAGGTAGGTAGGGCTTAGGCAGCTCCCAGCCTTCGTTGCGGTTCAGCTTGGCTCCCACTAGTTGGATGTGTATGGCCTCCTTGATCTTCCGATGTGCGTTGCGGGCTTCCTGGTCAATAATTTCGATCGTGTCTAGTATAGGTTGGGTGGTGACCCTATGTCCAGTCTGTAACTGGTGTTGACTAAGTGCAGACTTGTAGTCCTTACGGTCAATCGACTTCTGATGTTCACCTGACCTTTCCCCCAGCGATCTCTCTGTTTCTCCCACATACGTCTCACCGCAGTGTTCGCAGACAAATTTATAAATGACACCACACTTTTCACTTGGATCTAAAGGATCTTTCGGGCTCACCAGGGCATTCCGTAGGGTGTAGCCTGGTTTTGAAAACAGGCTAACGTTGTGTTTGGCAAACACTCGTTTCAGTCTTTCTGTAGTCCCTTTAATGTAAGGGAGTACAGCAAAGCTGGAGGGTGTTTGTCCCCTGTCTCCACGTTGTGTGTCCTTGTGGTTCCTCTGCTGTGTTTTTCTGGTGTCCCCTTCTCTAAGGGCCCAGTCCGGATAGCCGCAGTGACGGAGTGCGTTCCTCACTTTCCCTTTCTCTACTTCTCTCAGGGTGCGGTCCTGAATGAGAGTGTCTGCCCTGTGCATTAAGGTTTTGACAATGCCGAGTTTTTGCTGGACGGGGTGGTTGATGAATCTCTTCAACGATATACGTGTGTTTAGTTTTAAAAACTGTTATTCCCCTTTCTAACCCTCAGGTTGTCCACCGCGACCTGAAACCCAGCAATGGTGTAGCCTAACAAACCCCTGCTTTGTTTATGCACACGTACATGTATGGTGACCAGCCCCTGCAACTCTGTCCTGCCACTTGCTACATAATGTAACCCAACACCTCAAGTTTTCTGCTACAATACCAGTTTCCATGATGACATCCCTCTAGTCCAGGTCATTGACCTCGAATTTGTGATTCAAAGAGAAGAGGAAATGGAGAAAATAAACACTGTGAAGGTACAAAATGTAATTAATAATTATGATGTATTTGCTATGTAAATGTTACCTGGTGGTTAGTTTAAAAATCGTTCTTCCCCTTCCTAAACCCCAGGTTGTCCATCGTGACCTGAAACCCAGCAATATCCTGTACGCGGATGACTCCGGGTCCCCTGAGTCGCTTCGGATCTGTGACTTTGGGTTCGCCAAGCAGCTGAGGGCCGAGAACGGGCTGCTCATGACTCCCTGCTACACAGCCAACTTCGTCGCTCCGGAGGTACGTGCCTGAGTCTTGTTACAGAAATGAACCTCTGATGAATGTAGTGGGTTTGTGTGGCGTAGCGGCAGAGTGCGCGACTCGGAACCAAGAGGTCCCGGGTTCGAGTCCTGCCATGCCACCGATCTTGTGCCCTTGGGAAAGGCACTTAACACGACTTTCCTCACTTAAGTCAGGTGAAAATGAGCATTGTATTGTCCCTGTGTTGGTTAATATAAGTTGAAAAAACTTGAGTGTTTCCTTCACCACGTCTTGTGATTAGATGTTTGAATATGAAAAAAAACAACTGTGTGATGAGTGCCATTTCTGTGTGTTTCAGGTGCTGAAGAGGCAGGGTTACGACGCTGCTTGTGACATCTGGAGCCTCGGGGTTCTTCTCTACACCATGTTGTCTGGGTAGGTGCAGAAAAACTATTCCTTTTTTCTAAGACTTCTTGCATCTTCATCTGGGCTATATAGTCCTGTCATTATAGGCCTGATAAAGATGACAGTCAGTCATCGAAACATCCTCTTGTAAACAAGTAGTTGTGAACAAATAACTTTGTTGTTCAATCATCCACCTCCTGTTGTGGTTATTTTCAGAGTGACTAATGCAATAGCTCAATTGGTAGAATGCTTGCTTTGTAACCGGGAGGTCGTGAGTTCAAACCCCGGCTGGGTCATACCAAAAATGGTACACACTTCTTTCTCTGCTTAGCACTCAGCAAATATGAGAAAAGAGTGTGGGAAGATCAAAACACACAGCACTACCAGCGGACCAGCCCCCTGCTGTAGTGCCCTGCACAACTGTGTGTCGCCCAAGGGCTACGGAAATGGACATGGGCACCACCCTACGCTCTGCATAAGAGCACGGGAGACATTTTTTAATGTTTCGTATCCTCGACAGAGACTAATGTATTGTTCATTTCTTTGTTTGTTTGTGTTTCCACAGGAGGACACCGTTTGCCCACGGTCCCAACGACACGCCGTCTGACATCCTGGGCAGGATAGGGGAGGGCAGGTTTAGCTTGGAGGGGGGCAACTGGGACTCTGTGTCTCCCCTGGCAAAGGTGAGACAATTAGGGGGGTAGTCTGGGAGGGGGATAGCCTGGAGGGGGGGCAACTGGGACTCCGTGTCTCCTCTCGCAAAGGTGAGACAATTAGGGGGGTAGTCTGGGAGGGGGATAGTCTGGAGGGGGGCAACTGGGACTCCGTGTCTCCTCTCGCAAAGGTGAGACAATTAGGGGTAGCCCTTTCTGTAAACATGCACCCACCCACCCACTCATTGATTGATTTGCCAAAAACAGTTACTGAAGCAACTGGATATGGTTTTCGAAACAGACACTTCAGGTAGCATCCACTAGCTTTCGTCAGTGACACTGGAGAGTTGACAGAAAGGCAGATTTATAAGTACAAATTATTGATTGATATGCAAGTGAAGACAACTTTTTTGAAAGTCCAAAAGCTGCTTTTCCGACAACTCTCCAGTGTCACTGACGTCTAACTAGCCTGGGTACCATCCTACTTGTATGCCGGGGCTCCCACACTCGCTTCCCTAAAGAAGTAGTCTGGAAACGGTTAGATCTGAACCGTCTGAGCTCGGTCAGATTTTGCCCGAGTGTGCTGATTGGTCCCTTCTGTCTTGTTCATTAGCCTAACGTCCTTCTCAGTATGTGGTGATGCTTATCTCCTGCCTGCTCAGCAGGTATCACTGACCAAGGAAAGGTTTGTTTATTTATCTTGGACGGAGTGTAGTAGCCATTGAGAGACACTGCTGTCATGATTTTGCTAACATTTGAAGTAACAGAGCCACAAAGAACATCTTGCTTAAAGAAAACTACAAGAAATTGTTGTACTCAAGGTATATTTGTGGCTGCACTTGTCATACATAAGCAGCAACTTTTTTGCCCTTACCAAAACAGCACATGGCCACGTGGACTTTGTATTGATGGGTCATCTACTAGTGGAAGAGGCTCCGCCCAGCCCTCCCCATGTGGCCTACCTCATTATGTGATATCATCACCAAGCCAAATAGATACAAGCGTTTCCAGACTACTTCTTAGGGAAGCGAGTGTGGGAGCCCCGGCATACAAGTAGGATGGTACCCAGGCTAACGTCTAACCGTTTCCAAATCATATCCAGTTGCTTGAGTAACTGTTTTTTGACATATCTAACCTTCACCAATATGATTGATTGATTGATCATTTTTATTGATTGATCGGTTGATATTTTATAGGAAATCGTGCGTCTGATGCTCCACGTTGACCCACACAAGCGCCCGACGGCCTCCCAGGTCCTCAACCATCGCTGGATCTCACAGAGGGAAACCCTGTCCTCAGACCACCTCAAACTCTCACACCAAGACATTCGACAAGTCAAGGTACATAGACAGGTCTTAAACTCAAGCTCTCACACCAAGACATTCCACAAGTCAAGGTACTAGATACTCAACATACTCAAGCTATTGCACCAAGACAAGGTACATGTCTTAGTCTAACACCAAGACATTCGACAATTCAAGGTACATCTATTAGATAAGGCTTAAACCCAAGACATTCGACAAGTCAAGGTGCATACAGTAGTGTAGCTTAGCCTTAAGCTCTCACACCAAGACATTCCACAAGTCAAGGTACATAGACAGGTCTTAAACTCAAGCTCTCACACCAAGACATTCCACAAGTCAAGGTACATAGACAGGTCTTAAACTCAAGCTCTCACACCAAGACATTCAACAAGTCCAAGGTACATACACATGTATCTTAGATACTCAAGATCTAAGTTATGAACCTTAGACAAGTCAAGGTACATACAGTAGTGTAGCTTAGCCTTATGCTCTCACACCAAGACATTCCACAAGTCAAGGTACAGGTCTTAGATACTCAAGCTCTCACACCAAGACATTCGACACGTCAAGGTACATTACAAGGCTTCAAACTCTTCTACATGTATGTGGCCTTCCTGTTTCAAAATGGAATTTTTGACTTGTGAAATCCTCTAGAGTAGGTTCATGTAAGGTAAAACCTCCAAAAAAAGAGTGGATCATGTGAATGCTGTTCAGCACCAAGGAGAAAGTAAACTATGCATTAGTCTCTATTCAGCAACTGCTTTTCACATCACAAGTCATTCGTACAAGAGGTTTGAGCTAGTAGAATTGTTACACCTACATTTGTAGTTACCAGTATGTGTACAATGCTCCATATTATACAGCACTCATTGCATGTTGTCCTAAAGAAACCATGACTAGTATGCAGAAAGGGGACCAACTCGACACAAAGCAGTGGCTAGACTAGGCAGAGTTTAGCCAAGCATCTACAGACTGTGTGTTACATAGGCTTTCTATACAGAACACAGAAAAGTATTGCACCCAGGTCAGTAGGGTAATCAGTACAGTTGGCCTAAATTCTGTTTAAAGGTTCATGTTGCCCAGTTTGTTGGCAAGATAGAAAAGCAGCAGTTATCGTTGACCGTTTTCAAAATCATATCCAGTTGCTTGAGTATCTGTTGTGTATCCCATTACCTGGATATTTAACCTTCATCAACACTATAATTAATATTGTTCAATCTGTTCATTGTTTTATATATACTATTAGATGTTCATGTAGTACAATAAATTCTAAACTAAGCATTAAGCAATGGTCCACTGTATTTCATTGGACTCATTGAAAAGAGCCTGGTGAATACAATTTACGTTAATTTTTATATTGTACATACAGTTCTCTGTCACTGCTCTTCAAACTGGTTTGAACTTAAACTTTACTCATTTTTTTGTGTATGACAAGTTCTTACCTTGTGTATTTGCCAGGGTGCCATGGCTGCCACCTATTCTGCCCTGAACACCTCCCCAAAGATGACCCTGGATCACATAGGAGCCTCCAAACTGGCACAGAGAAGAGGCGTGAAAAAGCTGGGCTCCACCGCGCTATAGGAACGTCAGCTCCACTTTCATCACGGTTCTCCCGGTGTTGTGTGCAACACTTTTCATTTTACAACATAAAAGGGAAATTTGCAAAAGCTATTGTCAAACTGGGCTCCACTGTAGTATAAGACCTTCAATGCCATTTTCATTACATAGTTATATACATAAATTTGCAAAGTCAAGTAAGGCTCTGTTAACGTTGCCCTATACACTCACACATGTACACACTCACTCACTGTCCGGTTTATTGTGAGTTATATAGTTTATCGTCAGTTTATAGGACCGTTAACCCGGATTTCATCATTATGTTTCATTGAAATTTACAAGTGACTTCACAGTCATTTTCAACTAGTGGATTCTTCAAAAGCATCTTCTTTCTTGAGGTACATTCTGAACTTTATGGTACCATAATAATTTTTTTTGTAAGCAGGTGTCTAATGCTTATAAGACTGCTTTCTGCACCAAAACATATTTCGTGGTCCTCCATCTTTGATAATTCAAAAAAGGATCTACACAATTTTGTAAATAACATGGCGACGCGAACATACAAAATGTACATGTAGATATATAATCTGTGTGCCCTACAAGTGTCTGCTTACACACAGTGCACACTGTAGGTCTCAATTGGGAAGGTTTAGTGTCTTGTCTCCATATAGCTGTATATTCCATACACTTACAAATGATAAAATACTGAAAGTGCATTGCTTGTATGCATCCTCTTAGTGTGTTCAGAAAAGTTTTGTTTTTTTTACCAAAAAATGGCAAAAACGTTTCCAAACTGTAACCCATTAATTCCCAAAAGCAATCTTGTGTGATAGCTAGAAATAATACTAGTACTCAAATCATTAGATTTCGAATCAGTTTTTCCCATTGTTTTGTCAGCGTAACAAGCAAGTATTAGAGGAAGTTAGAAAGCCATGAAAAGCCTTTTCTTGATAAAAATGCTTTGCAAATTGTGACAAAGAATCAAAAGAAAAAAAGTTGTGAAAAACGTCCCAAAATTCTAGTGCCAAACAATTCACTACCATTACATTTTGGCATCGGACAGAGGCAATGATTTTTTAAAAGTACCGGTAATGCATTTTCAGAACCTGAGTATTGCATACAAAAAGAGAAGAATAACCGCACTGTGCTTTGTGATATTACATAGTTAACTTTTTGGAGCACACACATATCTAAATTGCTGATTTCATTGCTTCTTGGAAAGTTGCATATTGAGGTCTGGATGGCGTTTGTTTCTATTCACAGCTTGATAGAAAAGAACTTGAATGTGATTAAATGGTTTAAGATAGTGCTAGTACTGCTAATTCTCTTACATATCAGTAGCCATAAGGTTGAGCAAGAGTAGGACAATCTTACAATATGCTCTTTTTTCTTCCTTAACTGAAGTTTTTTTTTTACTGTACTGTTTTTCCTTTATCATTCAAGAAATGTAAGCTGTGACTTGATAGTTGAAAAAAATGTAAAACAGTAAAAGGTACCTTAAAAGACAGCTAGTGTTTGAAGTACACTTAGTAACTGTATGGTTACAGCCCCTATTTCCGACAATTCATGATAAAAATATGTTCCAGTAACCCTACCCTGTGTTGAAGAACGTAGGGGATTTCAGAATTAAGGCAGTCCCTTGGCTGATAGCAGAAAGACGGGGAAGTTTTGAGTCTAACATGCTATCCATTCGACTTACACATGCAATGAAGCTGAAACACAAACAAAGTAGAATCAAATTAAAAAAGTTAGCCTTCAGCACTTGATGCACAGGTCCATATTATCAGGGAAATAAGCATTTCTTGATATTTTAGAAATCTGAAGTTGAAAAAGATTTGGATGTGCAAACTGGCATTTTGATATACATTTTACTGTTAACTGTTCAAATTAGTTTATGAAGCAGAAAAACTTCAGAAAAGTTCATCTGAATATCGGAAGAAATTGTCACCATTGTGGCATTTCAAAGAATTACTAATGACTAGTTGAAATTGGCTTCTGTACAAGGGTAGTATTTAGTGATCTGACGTTCATTTTTATATTTGTTCAACCTTTTTTTAGTTCCAGCTATGTAGAGAGTCTATTAAACGACTACTTCTTGTTAGAATGAAAAAAAGTTTAAAAAACTGAAATACACAAATGGTGGCGGTGATCATATCATACTAGTCTTTCACAAAATGGAGTCCAGAACGAGTTGATAAACTTTAATGGTATGATTTGTTTTAAAGAGTTACATGTACGCTTTGTATTTCCATCTATCATATACACTATTGTTCATCCCTTCATCCCTTTCATAGTTGAAAATATCATCAGTTTCTCCACATAGGAACAAGGATTGACAATCATGGGACTTGAGGAAAGAGCACTTTTTGTTTCTCACACATTTTTGGTGTCATCTCGTTTCATGTAGTTAGCCTGGGAGTGTCATTAAGAAATGCTTTGAAGGGGTGGGTGATTGGTACATTATATATATATAGTTAAATGTCAATTGTATACTATTTCCAAGTTAAGAAATATGGAATTATTTTTTGCTACTGTGTTAGTGAGAGACGGTGTATATGTGATTGTATGTGCTAGCATATGGACAGGTTAGCGTTTACATTTTGTAGGCCGGAAATGTTGGTATAAAACGAGTTGCTGCCTTTATCAAAATATAGGGAATCGAGAGTTGGGCCACTCCAATGTATGTCTGGTTCTCAGATATTTCTAACAAAAAAAAACTGAGCAGTGAAGATGAAAATGGGCTGGGAGAAAACTTGAAAAATCTGACTATACTATGTTCCCTAAAACTGTAACAACACAAACTTTCACACTCAGTTTTTACCTTGATCTTCTAGTTCAGAATTTACTCTTTAAAGCTGAGAACCAACAAATTTAATTGGTTTGGCCACAGCAAGTATAGGGAATTGACAGCTAAGATGCTCTACAACAGATATATTATGGTATCTTGTAACAAAGGTATTTCTAAAAAAAAGATTTAAAAAAAGCTTATATTGGTCAATTACTGTGGTGTAATACAAAAACATTATGTACATGTACACTCGAGTGTCAGATTTTTCATAGTATAATTCGGGAACTTGTTTATTCGTGTACCTTGTCTACAATGCATTATTATAGAGCAGATACTACGTAATAGTTTGTATATGTGTGTGGTCTGATGCTATAACATTACTGTGTTAAAGGCTCATTCTTGCAATCGTTTTCTCTTGTTATGTTAGGCCACAACAATTTATTTCATTGGTTCTCGGGCATTTTCAGTAAAAATTTAGCAAGAGGACAAGTTTAAAATAGTAAACAAAACTGGAAAGCCTGAATTTGACTATATCCACACTCTAAAATCTCCTACCCTGTTTCTGTTAATCTTCCAAGCCAGCATATCTTTTTTTTAAAACCCGGAAACCTAGAAATTGAATTGGTGTGGCCTAACGGAACAATGCAAGACCGTCTGAGCTATATGTATGTATCTGGAATCTGTACCCATATCTGATGTAGCGTCCTTTTCTTGCGACTTGCGCTGCTTTGTTCAACGTTGTTACTCTACATGTGATTGTTATAATGAGGAGAGGGGTTCTTTCCTACTACTAGTATATAGATGGTTGTTCAGTATAATCTATTCAAATAAAGTACAGTGGTCGGTTCGAAGAAAATAAAGGGGGTTGCATAATAAACATTTCACGGGTTTCTTGTGTTTTATTTTTGTGTATGGTGCCCAAAGCTCATCAGTGGTCCCGAATTTAAATATGTAGCATGCAACAGGGTGAACAGATTTAACAAATATTTTTCTAACAAAGGAGGACGCAGCAAACGAACGCTAGAGTCAATATAGTTTTTTGTCACCGATAACTTGACTACATGCAGATATTTTATTGATGATATACTGGCTGCAGTACCAGTAACGATATATTTCTCTGAAACTCAAGTTACACGAACAACTATCATAAGCAGAGCAAGTTATGTAACAAAAAGATAACGTTTGACTCCTTAAGTTCCCTGGCAAAGCTTGAGCTTGAGCAGAAATTCTACAACAAATGACACGCCACATCAAGAACATTAAGAACATAAGTCAAAATAAGCCACCTACATTTTTATCAGTTTCTAGTTACTAGTATAAGGAATTGTCACTTGTATCCAAAATTCATATTGAAAAATCTGCTCTATAAAACTATACCTGAACACATCTCTAGTTACCTGAAAATAGATGTCTGCCTCACTGCTACATTCAAATTGACTCATTCTGGTGTAAGTTTGTAACAGACAAAACTCCTACAATAGTCAGCGTTACTTCAACGCTTTACAGACCACGTGCGATTGATCAGTTTGTGGATAACTGGGTGGGGTATTGAGAAGAAGAAACTAGCTAAAACAATATGTTTTCATTCCGTTAACATAAAAACTGGGTGTGATCAGATTTGGTAGAGCAAACGCAATTATCGTGGCCTGATCGCCATTGACACAGACTTCAGAGAGTAAGTGCTACTTCTCCACTTGTACCACATCACACCCTGCCCGTTTGTACAGGAGTTCCCACAGTTGCCCAGGTAGCGGCCGTTGAGGAAGGAGAGGCTGCAGTCCTTGTACCACCAGCCGCCCTGTCCGTAGTCCTGAGAACAGGAGCCGTCGCACCAGACATCGTTGTCCCTGTCCACAGTGGAGAACTTCTGACCGTTGTTGGAATAGACGCCAGTCATGGAGTCTCCCGCTGTGCCTGAATACCCGGAAAAGGTCAGCCGATACCCGTCAGACTCACCGGACACCCTGGATGGGAACATCATATCACGCAATATTAGTTATGAACAACTATCCTGACATGCCACGACTTTCCTCACTTCGCTCAGGTGATAATGAGTATTGTATTGCCCCGTGTTAGTGGCGGCATTAATATAAGTTGAGAAAAAAACTTGAGTGTGCCGTCACCACATCTTGTGATTAGATGTTGGAATATGAAAATTAAAAAAAGGAGGAACACCAACCTAAATGTGTCGTACTCAGCGTAGCGCCATCATGAAAATCCGCAAACGATAGTTCTTCTGAGCAGTCAGGCGGTGGATGTTCTCGTTCCCAAGCCAGTATTCCCCGTTCTTGTTCCCAAACCCGTGCTTGTACTCCTCCCAGGTCCGGTCAAAGGGAACCGACCCGTCCTGTCGTCGCTGGATTACGGTCCATCCTCCTCCTGTGGGAAAACACTCATTATTACTTCGCAGGTCATTACAGAGTTACACATGGAAACAGCACGAACTATATTCTCTTTGCGGAGGAGAGTTATGTATATAGCCTTATTTTAAGCTGTGTTAATATGTAATGTGTAATTGTCAATGTATTTATGTTTTGGAAATGTGTCATGTGTGTCTTGAAGGACCACAGGAAGAATGGCTACATTTTTGTGTGGATCCCAATAAAGTCAAGTCAAGTCATTGACCCTGTGAGTGATTGTTCCTATAAATAGTATTTGACCAACAACAGAGTTGACTTTTGAATCCCCATGTTATAGTTTTAGTGTTGCTTTTGGCGCTTTATGCGCACCTGTGTATATTACAAATCTTTATGTAGCTTAAAACAATATCTACCTGCTGTATCCATGTCACAGTAGACCTCTACACCGGACAGGGGTGAGCCAAGTGTGTAGACTCCACTGGTCGTGTGTCCGGCGGCTTTATATGCAGCGCAGTCTGGCTCTGGGAGACGGTAAGTATCAGGGAACAGAGTCACGATGTAATAATTGATATGTCAAACAAGAGTAGCATATTGGTAACACAACATAAATGGTGGTTTCTGATCAAACTATTAAAGTCTGTAAATGTGGGGACACACGGCAGTAGACATAAAAAAAGAAGTGGAGGTCTCAAATACCGAACTAGAATGAATTGGACTGCATAAAAATGTTTGTATGATGTAATTATAAGGTGATGTGACCGGTAACGCTTGTACATGTACGAGTATAGTATGACTGTCATCTATCTATGAAATGGAAATGCTTGGATATGTCAAAGTTTACAGGCACGATGGTGGAAACGTTATGACTGTGTTGCTGTAAGACCCGCACGTGTAGCATCAGAACCGTGAGAAACTCGGACCCTCCAACTCACCTGCAGGAGGAGCAGTCGGGGCTGCTGGGGTTGTGACCTGCGGAGGAGCAGTCGGGGCTGCTAGGGTTGGACAGCTACACTGTATATGTAACAAAGACAACACATATAGAGTGTTAACTTGGTACATCCGTATTGTATACGTCTTACTCCGTTGTACGCAGTACTTTAGGAATGACAGATATGCTTTCCAAATCGAGGTATAGCAACTGGCTAAGATACTTCAGGCCAAGTTTTCTCATGAAACGAATCTTAAGGTCTACAATAGCCAGCGGTGGACCGTTTGTTGGTGTAAAGCAAGAGCATTTTACGGAGTTTGTTTACGTGTTTGTTTGTTTGTTTGTTAGTATGTTAAACGTGATGTGAATGAATTCATTCTTTCCTAGAACAATCGCATAGTGGAAGTCGGTGCCACCAAGTACAGTAGGGGAATTGTCATTAGATAGCTTTAAACAATGTCTAGAGTTAGATGTTCAAGGGTTATAAGTGTAAGAAGTCGATCGGTGTAATGTAGCCAACTGCCGCCGCGCCGCGTGCCTGCGAAGCTGGTATGTTACGCCGAAGGGCGGTTATATCAGCTCTACAGATACAGAAGCTGGTGTGTTACGCCGAAGGGCGGTTATACCGGCCATACAGATACAGAAGCTGGTGTGTTACGCCGAAGGGCGGTTATACCGGCCATACAGATACAGAAGCTGGTGTGTTACGCCGAAGGGCTATACAGATACAGATAACGTGCACGTTTACCTGTCCAGGAGGTCCGGGTGGCCCGGGAGGTCCAGACAGGCATCCGAAGTCTGTTGGTTACAAAACAGCCGTTCATTCATCCTTCAAACCTTTTATTTCTATATTTCAACATGTAATCATAAGACGTGGTGACGGCACACTCAAGTTTTTTCAACTTATATTAATTATTATATTATTAATGCCGCCACCAACACAGGCGACAATACAGTAATCATTTTCACCTGAGCCAAGTGAGGAAAGTCCTGTTAAGTGCCTTTTCCAAGGGCACAAGAGCGGTGGCATGTCAGGACTCGAACCCGGGACCTCTTGGTTCCTAGTCGAGCACTCTGCCGCTACGCCACACGACCCCACCAAAACTTCTTTGTACTTTTATTTACAGATAAGAGTATTTATAGTCAAACACCTGATAGGCCGTCACGTCAACTTTATTTACCTGAACGTCTTCCAAGGATGAGGATAGTTTTGTTGGCCTCCGAGTTCCTCTTGGATCTGTGGTGCACCTCCTCATTTTTCCAAAAGGTGGCGCTGTCATCACGTCGCCAGTCTTCAGTTGAGCGCACGTCACCAGGGGGGCTCTCGGGACTGAGCGGCCGGCCGGTCTGTTAACAAGCCAATTTATTTATTTATTTCATCTTATAAACACCTGGGTGACAACAATAAAATTGTTGATTTCCAAGAGGGCCCAGGGACACATAAACATAAAGCAATTTGTATAAAAGTAAATTATACAATCAATTAACATAACTGAGAAAAGTTAACAGATCAGTATAACTGAAAATCAGTATAAATGAAAAGTTAACAAATGATACAACATATATAAATGGCTGAACAGAAATGTCCAAAAAATTATCTTTCCGTAATAGTGAACAACTGTAGTCATAAAGTTTTAGGTCTTAGGCTATACTATACTATACTATACTGTACTGTACTGTACTATACTATACTATACTATACTATCATAAACACAATTTCACTATCTAAGATATCCTTAGACTCTGATAAATGTTAAAGCCTGATTTTAAAGTGGCAAAATCATCCTTGCTTACCTTAGCTTCCTGCTCATGCTTCCATTGCATCAGGTCCTGAAGCTGGCTGCGCAGTAGCACCAGCTGGTCATGGTCTCTTCCTTGTTGTTCTCGGAGATCCCCGTGCAATGCTGCTTGTTGGGCACGTAGGAAGGTAAGCTGATCACGCATGGAGGCGAGTTCCTGTACCATGAGTAGAAGGGCGACGACACTCACCACAGCCGCGAGTCCTGACAGCGTCATGAAGATTCCCAAGGTTCGCTGGATTCCATGGCGACCTACAGAACCTTCCCGAGCTGCCTCGCCGTTTGGGAACAGCTTCTTGGATGACATCTTCGAGAAACCTTGAAGAAAATGAAGAAAATGATAAACACGATTTCAACCAGCACCCCGTCTTATCAACCCTTCCGAGACTCAGCCAAGTCGTTCTTAAGATGATAAAATGTTGCAGTTGGGATCTAAAATTATCTTCGCCGGGTACCCTCCCTTGTGCCCTGCTATATATATCATCACAAGAAACCTCCTCGGTCCCAATACTTGGTCCTGTGTACACAGACGCAAACTCGGCCATAATATTCCTGCTATAAGCCCAGCGTCGCGACATGTGATACAACTATACAAAACGCCTGCTTGAGACAGAGACATTCAGGAACTGGTTTTCGCTTATTCACGACATCAGTACCGGAGACAACAGTGAAATAATGAAAACGCATAAAGGCCCATCCGTGCTGTATTGAGTTTGGCCCAATCTCGCATAGAATTTGTATGTATGAGATATTGTTGTTAGACCAGACAGCTTCATTTCTACGCCGTTCGTACACCTTTCAATTGGTAGGAGGCAGAAGTGCTGTCAACCAGAAGGTCTGTCGTATGATTATTGAGAGGAAGTGAAATTCGTACGATATATCAGGTACAGTAAAGTTAAAGGCAAGACGAATGAAAGACAAGTAAAGGTTTCCACTCACTGTAGTAGTGCCCAGACGCGTTGGCAGCCCAAACACTGCTGGTTTGCAACATGTCATGAATGGCCGTGGGACAGGGGAATATTTGGTTTACATCTAAATTGAAGACCTGTAAGTACCTTAACATGTTGTCAATTGGAAAAGTGGCCCCGGAAACTTAACAAAAACAATTCTATAACACAATCACTCTGGTCAATCAGCCAGTAAATGAGAAAACCTTTCGGTGAAAGAAATCTTTAATTTGTTTTACAAAACAGCTGCACTTAAGCATGTCTACATAAAGAGTACTACTTTAATCCTATATTTTCCATGGCAACTCTTCGGTCCCCTATCAACAGATTTGTACCCTCTTAGCGGCAACAGGAGCCAACTAAGCTTATAAAGGGCCACTTTTTCAGTTACCAAAACAGATTAATGAGGACTGATGGACTCTATTGAAATGCATGTTACTGAGAATCCCATTAGTGCGGTAACCTGGCAATGTCGCTAACTTTAGGCTAGTTTACACTCGTTCTTTGGCTGTGTGGAAACTTAACTATCACGCTAAGACTGCGGGCCTTGTCTAAAGTAGGAAGGGAGAACACATACTGTACTGTATATGGAGATCGAGAAATAATTATAGTTACGAAATGGTAGGTGTGTACTACAGTGGAAACAGGCTGGTGATAGAAAGAAAAAAAATTGAGTGAACTTCTCTCATCTTACAACCATCATAAACAGCTAAAATTAACCAGCATGTATCAAGTACAGTCAGTACAGTAAGGCAACGTTACCTTAAGACGAATAAAAAACAAGTAAAGCTTTCCACTCACCGCTGTAGTAGTGCCCAGACGAGGTGTCAGCTCAAACACTGCTGGTTTTCATCATGCCATGCATGACCATGGGACTGGGGAATGTATGGTTTGCAATTCAATCAAAGACCCGCAAGTAACTTACATGTAGTCTGTTGTCAATGAAAAAACCATAGCAATAGCAATTCTATAACACAATCACTCTGGTCAATAAGCCAGTAAATTAGAAAACCTTTCGTTGGAAGAGACAGTCTTTTATTTTCAAACACACTTTTGACACAACAGGTACACCAAAGAATGTTTATGTGGGTTCGTGTGGCGTAGCGGCAGAGTGCGCGACTCGGAACCTAGAGGTCCCGAGTTCGAGTCACCGATCTTGTGCCCTTGGGAAAGGCACTTTACACGACTTTCCTCACTTCGCTCAGGTGAAAATGAGTATTGTCCTGTCATGTATCTGTCCCCTGTGTTGGTGGCGGCATTAATATAAGTTGAAAAGACTTGAGTGTGCCGTAACCACGTCTGGTGATTACATGTTGGAATAAAAAAAAAAAGAATGTCTACATAAAACGTGTACGTTAATCCTATATTATGAAGCAGTTGTAACATACACCAGTACACGGCTGGAATTCTACTAAAAATGACACGCTACATGAAGAACATTAATATGTTCATTAAAAAGGGCCATAAGTCAAAATAAGCCACCTACATATTTATCAGTTTCTAGTTACTAGTATAAGGAATCGTCACTTGTATTCTAAATTCATATTGAACAATCTGCTCTATAAAGCTATATCTGAACACATCTCTAGTTACCAGGAGGTACCCACTAAACATATTAAATGTCTGTCTCACTGATACATTAAAATTGACTTATGCTGGTCTTTGCAATAGTTTGTTACAGACAAAGCCCCTACAATAGAGAGCGTTACTTTTCAGCATTACAGACCTTGTACGATTGATCAGTTTGTGGATAACATTACAGTTGCCTACGTATCTTACTGAAATTCTACCACAAAAAAACACATGTCCTCAAAATGCATTAATATGTTATATCAGAAGCTCCCAGCATCAAAATAAGCCACCGACATGATTTTTAATCAGTCGCTAGATATTTTTGGTATCGTTACTTGTATCCAAATCTCGTATTGAACCGTTTGCTCCATAACAACTATATCTATACTAAAAATAAATGTCTGCCTCACTGACGCATTCAAATTGACTCATTCTGGTGTACGTTTCTAACTGACAAAGCCGCTACAATAGAGAGCGTTACTTGTCAGCGTTACAGACATGTAGGATTGATGATTTTGTGGATAACTGGGTGTGATCAGATTTAGTAGAGCAAATGCAATTATCGTGGCCTGATCGCCATTGACACAGACTTCAGGGAGTAAGTGTCACCTCTCCATTTGTACCACATCACACCCTGCCCTGGATTACAGGAGTTCCCACAGTTGCCCAGGTAGCGGCCGTTGAGGAAGGAGAGGCTGCAGTCCCTGAACCACCAGCCGCCCTGTCCGTAGTCCTGAGAACAGGAGCCGCGGGGCCAGACATCGTTGTCCCTGTCCACAGTGGAGAACACCATCCCGTTGTTGGTCGGGTTATCGCCAGCCATGGAGTCTCCCGCGGTGCCTGAATATCCGGAAATGGTCAGGAAGTACCCGTATGACTCACTGGCCACCCTGGATGGGAACACCATATCACGCAATATTAGTTATGAACAACAATCCTGACATGCCACGACTTTCCTCACTTCGTTCAGGTGAAAATGAGTATTGTTTTGTCCCTTGTTCGTGGCGGCATTAATATAAGTTGAGAAAAAACTTGAGTGTGCCGTCACCACGTCTTGTGATTAGATGTTGGAACATGAAAATTTAAAATAAGACTGGAAATGAAAACATACATTGACATGGCGACGGTGGTTGCTGTTAGGGTTATAGTTTGCATGGTACTGCCATCATTTCATGATTTTGAGAAAGACTTGGTTCCTGTTAAGTCTAGACAGATACAGTGCACTCCTCCCCTGAGTGTATAGTGAACGAGCCCCGGGGCACAGAAAGTATGGCCATCCGGGACAGACATGTCTTACCTAGGGTTTCCAGGAATGTGGGCATAGTTGTGGGTCAGAGAAATGTCTGTGGACATTCCATTCCTGTGGACAAAATGCCTGTACCATTCCTAGAATTCTTGCAAACTGCACACAATACTGTACAATTACTCATTTACACCTGAGCGAAGTGAGGAAAGTCGTGTAAAGTGCCTTTCTCAAGGGCACAAGATCGGTGGCATGTCAGGACTCGAACCCGGGACTCTTAGTTCCGAGTCGCGCACTCTGCCGCTACGCCACACGAACCCACACGGATTAGATGTTGGAACATGAAATTAAAAAAAAAGGAAGGAACACCAACCTAAATGTGTCGTATTCAGCGTAGCGCCATTCTGAATCCCAGCCCAGCAT